CGTTCAGTGGTATGTCCTGGTGTGGTGTAGAACCTCAGCTCCCAAGATGGTGTCATCTCAGATTGCGCTAGCTCGGAGTAGGATCAAACCCCAGGGCGTCATCCCCCTTACAGGAGCGTAGGGCTCATCGACCATTGCGCGTCCAGTCATATCCAACATTCCACAAGCTACGAGATATCGTGGTATGGGTAATCATCGATGTTCAACGAGTTGAAAAAGAGGACGGCGTTGCAATTAGCATGACGAGGCCCATGGTATAAACATCACTGCGCATAGGTGTCGAGTGCGCGTCACGAGCGGGTTCAACTTCTGGCCACGGCCTGCAGGGGGAACAATCCATTTCCCGCTCTTGCATCCGGTCGTTCCGGAACGTGCTTAAACTATGCCGGATGGTATCTTTGCTCAAAGAAAGTCTCACATCCTTCGTATCGACGACCGGTCTAGAGATTTTTAGTCGATGTCCGGGCTCGAAGGGGGCGATAACACCGTTGAGCAACTGACTCTCAGGGTGCAGTAAAGGATGGCGATCAAGGTTAGGGCTTTATGCTGACCAATCATCTAATGGTACCGGACTCGATTCGAAGCGGTCCCGCTTCAATCGCACACAATCATATGGAGCCGTTGGAGCCAACTAGCCGATTATTACTGAAAAGGGGGAGCCCCGAGCTGGCAGCCAATGTTTCTCCACGATTAGGCGCTGTTGGTGATTGTGACATCTGGGGGCGGCGGCGCGGACCTTGCCCCTCCTAGAAAAACAGTCGGAGGATGCTACTGGGGACTGATCTGACTGGACAATCCTTGCCGGATTCTCGCTGGCCAACACGTAACTAACCAACGTGCACTTCCTTGTTTTCGAACGGCCAAGCCGTGATTTGGAATTCTGCCGGCGATAAGCCGAAGCTTCGAGTCGATCGTCAGGGCATAACGTAGGGACTGAACCCAGCGTCTACTAATCTCTGGGAGGAGTGGTTGGCGTGACGGTCGTCTGATGGCGCTGTTGGTGATAGAGGCCAATCAACTGAACCAACCGCGTTGGTTCTGTTGGGAATATCGAGAATGGATGTGAATTCACCTGCCTATCAATCGACCCGATTTGGTCAGTTGAATGGCGAGTGTCAGGCTAGAAATATTTGTTTGTCTTGGGGTTAGTTTTACAGCACGATGCTCCATCCTCTCTATTCGGGTGAAGGATCAGATCCTGCCGTCAGGTATGCCCCCTGAGCTGCTGGAGGGAGGGAGACAAAACCCCTTTGCGCGTCCTATATTTGCCACCTGCGCAACCACGAACTAACCCCACATGGGGGCAACACGAGACCAGGATGGGTGGCCAACCAGATTGGTCGTCTGGCCGAAATTTGAGGGCTATGGGCGAGGTGCTTGCGACTTGCCTTCACAACTATCGTAGAGCTTTGAACTGATACAGGACTGGCGCAAGCATGTGAACCTGCCACAGGACTGTTTAAATCCGGAGCAATTCAGAGATGTACCCCAAGAGCAGAAACAATGGAATGCATAAGCACTGGATTAATGCCCCTGTAAGCGGTGGGCAACGCATTCCGCATACTCATGGATGGGGGTAAAGCGCTACCGCAGGCAATTGATGGCGTCTTGCGGCAAATACCCTGCCGAGACAGTTGATGTAAACAGGCCACCCCTGCGGCAGGAAGGGCACAGACGGTCGCACGGATAACAAAGATGGTGGGCAAAATCAAGCTTTCCTGGCTATACGGCATACCTTCTCTGAGGTGCCATATGCATCCCTCGATCACCATCTGGTACTGTGAATATTCCATGCCATCAGAAAGTAACAGATCAACCACCCAGGCCGCTGACCGGGTATGGCCACTACATCGCCGGGCATCAACAACCTGGTGGTAGTGCCATTTGCCAGCCTTTGCTCCCACACGGTAGATCTTTGACCGGACCCAGGACAACGCCTGGTGCCTTAAATACTGACTTCGCACCCTTCGGTTGGTGTCTCAGAAAACAACGCAAAGACGGAGACACCATGAAGACATACAGCATCCTCAGCTGCATCGTTTCGGTCGGACTGGGCGCAGTAAGTCCTCCATTGCGAGACTGTGCCCTGAACCGGTTCCAGAAAGGACCCGTGCCTTCAGTGCACTTCTCTCACTCAATCAATGAAGTGTCGAGATTGCTAACAGGGAGAGCTAGGTGCTTGGAAGAGATGCAACGTCTCTCGTATTTGACCCTAATATGGACCATCAAGTAAGGCCTCCCGAAATCTGCGGGGACGACTTGAAAACGCTGACAGAAAGTGGAATAGGTGTTGAACATGACTTCATTCTCTATCGCTCACCTTCACAAAGGAGGCCTTCATGTGCGGGCAATGGTACGCCACCATCTGGACCAGTAAACGCAGGGCTGACGAAAGAACAGGATGCAGCGACCAAGCCCCAGTGTTTCCCTGAATACGGAATCGCCCGCGTGGACGAGACCACAAGCAACATCGACCATCTGAACGATATTGCAGCCCAAGGCGCGGTGTGCGTGGCGGAGCCAGGAACCTGCGCTCGCCCATCTCATCTGGGCCACTCCTCCATTTTCATGTGCAATCAAGTGCGGTCCAACAATCTTAGATGAACATGGCACTGCGACTGACAAGAAGCCACAGTTGGACCATCCCATCCAAACGATGTGTGTAGACCTTATCAACGCCACCACGGCCCTGTCTACGGCCTGCCGCTTCGGAAATGATTATACGTATGGCTATCTGACGAACACCACCTGGGGCTCTGACAGTTATCCATATGTGGTGGCCCTCGGTGATGACTATGCCTTTGGGTCGCATTGATCCTCGGGCAACTTGATTCTATTGCCACCAAACATTTGGAGTGTTTCCCGGGTTGTTGTGGGGGGTTTAGGGTAGGGTATTCGTGCCAATACTTGAATGGGCAAGCATCCTGAGAAGTGAAGGGTTGGTTATTTCCAGTTGCCGTGGAGAGGATGATAATTGGCCGTCAATTCTAGAGCACTTTGTTGAGCCGAGCCCCATGAAGCCCTTCGTGGGAGTGTTTCTACTCAGGCAGAATTCCGAGACGGTAGTCAATGTCAGGAACTTTAGTCTCTATGCAGTTTTATTTACCATTTAACCTGAGATTTGAGTTAGTCGAACATGGTTATGGCCTGTATCTGGGCATCAATTTCCAGAAGGGTTGAGTACTTAAGCCGACTCTTTCTGCAGGCCACGCCCCGACCAAAACAATCACCAAGGCTCTAGCAAATCCCCATCGAAAAAAGGCAAAGGGCCATAAGACAAGGAGCGATTCAGAATCTCAGGGGTACCTCGCGATCCCATACTATTTATACACTCGTTACACTTTTTCTAGATCAATGTACGACTATTCCGATTAGCCGGCTCATTAAACAACATCATTTCTTTGCGTTCGTTTTATGCAATTGCACCAGACGTGTTATGAAGAGCCAGGACCGCGAAGGATTAGATTTCGTGTTGATCAGTGGGGTTTGGAATTTCGGCATTGAGATATTCCGAGGAAAATAGAACCAATAATAACCTTGCTCCTCTGGCCAAACAAGCATCATGACTCACCTCGCATTATTTAGTTATGCCGATGTGTGAGGTATATGAGAAATCCCTATAGATTATGTACATAATCTGGCATTATTCACTTTTTTCAAAAGCACTACAATTCGTGTTTGGGTCCAAAGACCTCAGCTATGTACAATGAACTGTCTTGTCTTCCTGCTTTAGGAGATTACCGCGAAAAATAGCCACTCCACCAAAAAGGTTGTTAGACACCAATTTATATTGCGCATAGGGGGTCCTTCAAAGCCTAATTTTGGTATTTTCTCGGCCTGATAATGAACCATTGGTTGGTGTTGATAAACCTATTTTGAATTCCGTAAAATATTCCGGGGCCACCCACTCAGGTCGACGAGTAATAGACATGGTGACTCCAGACTCAGATGGCTGTCTGACAGAAACCCATTAAATTTCTCAATTTCTTTCTCTAACTGTGCAATCCTGTATGCAAGAAAAAAGGCTGGCTTCATGGCCGCTCGCTGTTCCTAGCTTACAGTCTTTTGGTGAGAGAGTTGTGGGGATTTTGAGTCCCGCATTTGGAGTGCAACAACCTTGATGAGTGTTGTCATGTTTTTCTGACTACAGCAGCGAGGGAGGAGAAGGCTTGGCCCGGTCCGATTGATAAAATTCACACAGCCACCTCGGGTGAAGTGCCGGTCAACGACTCTATCTGTGTGACAGAGCAGCTGTCATGTCCGTCTATTGGCTAAACAATTTTTTAGGTTTCAGAACGGCCCCACCTGCCGGGGGCATATTTTTCTCGCTTGGTAAGATGACCTTGGTTTGGACTTTCTTTTCTCAACTAGCGAGTGGACCAAGGACATGGTGATGTGGTCTTTTGGAGAAGAAAATGCAATGAGTGGATTCCACCCCGCGCCCTGTCCCCTCCAGTCTGGGGAAAAACTCGGGACGACGTGGAGAAAAACACATCTAGCCGTGCCACTCTCTGACAGCAACGCTCCAGTCCGACGCTCGAGGTACACCGGATCGGGAAGTTCCCGAGGCACTTCTGCGTTCTAAGCCGGCTTTTGCTGCGTTGAGCAGGTTCGGTAGTTTGAAGGTTTCTGGGCTGTGGGCCGGTGTTTGTTCTTCCCAACTGCTTTGGTTTCGGGCTCGATGGGCATTCGCCTGTGCACTTGCCTGAGATGACAAGGGTCCATCGGTTCTCGTCCTATAGGGGTTTACAATGAGCGGGCGACCTGGGGGAAGTGGTTAGTTGGGTATACTCCGTACGGGGGTGGGCACAACAGTTGCCCATGGGGTTGGAACTGGGGTTGGGTGTCATTAATCTGTCATTTAGTGGGTATATAACTGCCTGCCCCATGCCCTGGTGGATCATTTGATCTCCAGTGTGCGTTTCATCCGTTCGTTTCTCTCTCTTCAGGACAGTTCGACACCTTTCCAGAGACGCTTTCAAGTTTCCATAGTGCCAAAAATGGCCTCTTTCGCTGATGAGAAGCGCCCCAGCTTGGAGAAGATCGAGAATGCGAACCTCCCGACATTGAATGCGCTGGACTATGACGAGGAGTACTCGCCTGAGGAGCAGAAGCGGATTATTCGGCGTGTTGATCTTCGTCTCGTCACGATTACCGGCCTTGCGTACTGTGTTTCACTCATCGATCGTACCAACTTGAGTAATGCCGCTATTGCTGGGTAGCTTTCTTTCTCGCGGTCTAATGAATGGTTCGCTGACTTGCTGACGAAGTATGGTGGAGGAGCTGCATCTCTATGTTGGATACAGATACGTGCGTTCGGATGCCGACGATCATTGTTGACTTATTAACGCAATGTAGTCGATTGTCGTTCTCATGTTCTTCGTTCCCTATATCATTGCGCAGCCTCCACTCACTGCTTTCACTAGGAAGTTGGGCCCGACTTATTTCCTCGGGAGCATCGTGATATCTTGGGGAGCCATCCTCATTGTACGTCTGAATCTCAATCAGATATTTCAGATGCTAATTGTTTCAGGGCATGGGTTTCGCTAAGAACTGGAATCATCTAGTCGCTTGCCGTGTGCTTCTTGGTCTCCTCGAGGCCGGTTACTTCCCTGGCTGTGTTTATCTCTTGTCCAGTTGGTACGCTAGATGTAAGTTTCGAGCTCACAGGCGCATCTTCCCCATTTAATGAGCCCAGATGATGTCCAGAAGCGGTTCTCCGTCTTTTACCTGATTGGCTGCGTAGCCTCGGCGTTGGCTGGTATCTTGGCTTATGGCCTGATGCAGATGGATGGAGTTCAGGGCCTCGGTGGCTGGAGATGGATCTTTATCATTGAGGGAGTGGTAGGTGTATGGATCCTCTCAATTAGTTCCTGCTAACAGCGATAGATTACTGGTGTCATCGGAATCTTAGCCATAATCTTCCTTGTCGACTTCCCGGATCGGGCTCATAAGTCACGGAGATTCCTTAGCGAGAAGGAGTGCGCTTTTATTGTGCGCCGCATCAACCGGGACAGGTCCGATGGAAATGCAGAGCCATTCATCCTGAAGCGGTTCCTGTCGCCAGCACTTGATTTGAAGATCTGGGGCTTCGCGATGATCTTCTTGTAAGCATGAGTCTACCTTCACATTTTTTGAGTACCTGGCTAATGATATCAGCTGCGTGACGACTGTCAGCTATGCTATTGCATACTTCCTCCCGATCATTCTTTTCGTGGGCATGGGCTTTGACACCGGTGTCTCGCAGTGCCTTGTTGCGCCCCACTACGCTGCCGCCGGCTTCGTGATGTACGGCACTGCTTGGGTAGGAGACAAGTACCGCGTTCGTGGCCCTGTTCTGATTTTCAATGCTCTGCTGTGCATCATTGGTCTTCCCATGATGGGTTTTGCCAAGAACAATGCTGCACAGTACGTTGGCGTCTTCTTCACCGTGGCCGGCTCCAACGCGAATATCCCCGCTGTCATGGCGTACCAGGCCAACAACATCCGTGGCCAGTGGACCCGTGCCCTGTCTAGCGCCGCGCTCGTCGGCTTTGGAGGTATTGGTGGTATTGCGGGCAGCCTGGTCTTCCGCGAGCAGGACAAGCCCCACTACCGACCGGGTATCTGATGTGCGATCGCGTAAGTTCATTGGCCCGTTTTTTAGAATCTGTACTGATGCTGTATAGCTGCAATCTGTTCCTGATGCTCATTGTCGTTGTTCAGAGCGTGTGGTTCCGTTATGCCAACAAACAAGCGGACCAGGGCAAGCGCATCATTGAGGGTTCGCCTGGTTTCCGCTACACGATTTAGGTTAGTAGTGAGGTGGTTCAGGGGTTTGGTTATACTCCGAAGAACTTAAAACGGTCTGGGGAGAGACTGTGATGTTGAGGGGCAGAGATGATTGGGGTAACGGGAATATATGTTCATTGGACGGGGTTGGACGCAGGGTTTTCCTCAGGGTTTCTGGAAGCTAGGGAGGATTTCTTCCAATGTTTGAACTCAGTTTTAGCCCGCTATCGCCCGGAGAATCGTCCGATAGACGCGTGGATTCATTCGACGATGCCAGAAATATACCCTTTTGTGAATTTGACTATGTTTGGACAAGTGGCTGGATTTGATCATCCTTCACAGGAGAAGCACGGTTTGTGAGGCGAGGATATTTGCTTGGCTATTTTTACTAGACGGTTTCATATGTTGAGATCTCCTGTAAGAAGAAAAGGAAGGAAAGGAAAGAGCGCAGAAAAAGGTATACCCAGTTTGCCAAACATATCAATATTACCGCTTTGAAACACTTACTTGTCCTGCGAACAATATGCTTCCATCATGGCTTCATGGACATGGTGATCTCTAAGCTAGTCATAAAATCAATCAGCTTAAGCATATTAAAGCCTTTACGGTTGGTAATCACCTGATGCACGATTTTTGGCACGACCACTTTCTAGATAGCATATTTCAACTCTTCATATCTCATGACTTCAATTGAGGCGGCAAGAAACAATCAGGTCTTGGGAACTAGCTAAATTAATTAATTATCCTGAAATTGCGGAACGATTTGGTGTTGATCACCCGATGCAGTCACTTGAGGTTAGGACTGTTACGAGAGAGGAGCTGCAGAGACGGTTGGATGGCCTGAACGAGAGTGAAATTCTTGCCAGTATTGATGTGCAGTATACCATGGCTTGCGGGCAGGGAGGGTCGGTCATCAAGGGTGTTCTGAATGATCTTTGTCCCGAAGTCAAGCCGATTAGCATCCGGGAGTTTATGGAGGAAGCGTGGGGGATATAGTCTCCGATTGAGATTGAGATTTGGGTGACACTACCTTACCTGCCAACCCTTCAGACTGAAGTTAACCTAAACCTGACTCCGCAGAATATCAGGAACACAGGCCAAGCAAGCAAATCAAGCTCCTTCCCTATAACTAGAGTCCAAAAATACCAAACCACTCAAAAATTGTCCGAAGCTGATCCTCCCGAAGATATCTTACAACGTGTGGTTCCCCTTTTTATCAATGCTATTTATTACAGAGAATAGTCACTATCTCCTTATTAGCCCCCAGCGCATTGAGCTTTGAAGCCGGTATTTGCAAAGCGAGGCCTGTATTGAGGGTATCTGCCGCAAAGCTGGTCGTTGACCACCAATTCCGTTGATCGCTCACGACCCTTTCTTCAAGAAATAATCCCAGCCATTCAAGCACTCAGCCACAGTACACGAGGCTCTAGCACAAGCTACTTCTTGGCGTCTTCTCCCATCCACTAGTTTAGCCACGCATCGTGATCAGAAAACATCACGCTAAGCTTGTTGCACCTTAGCAACCTCGTATCTCGAAATTGCCTGAGCGCTGAACACGAGCATCTTGACATTTTATGGGGTCCAGGAGCCTCCGCCGTGCATGGCTGAATGAAGAGAAAATATTTAAGACTTCCGAGTGCACTCTTGTTGTCCCACACACACAAAAATCTCTCCTACCGCGCGCGGCGTTTGCTTCTCACGATGGCGACACCCAAGATACTTCGCATCATCGCTTGGCCATTTCTCGCTATATTAAATCTCACAATCATGATCATCATCTTCCCGATCGCCGCGGTCTACGGAGCAGTCTATTTCTGCCTCCACCCGTCCGCTAATGCTCGGATGCGGCGGCGGTATATGCCTCCGGTACAAACCTACCTCGATCACTTCCAGCGTCTACATCCGGACCTGATGGAACGAATTTCACAGCACGCGTCTCAGGATCGCGAGGGCTGGGTTGATAGGGAACTAGAGATGTGGCCGAATTCCGCAAAGGGGTTCTTCCGGTGGTCTGTCGCGAATCATGAGTCTTGTCCCGCGGCAATTTTGTTCGCGGGACTGGAGCATGCGGGGTGGTCGCGGAAGGTTATTTGGGACTTACTGCGAGATCAAGTTGAAGGAGCTGGGTTAGTGAACGAGGAGGAGAAAAGGGCATTCGCGCGGGCCATGTCGACGATGTGTGATCACCAACTGACTGAGAAAGCAGCAGCGATGCTTCGCTGGAGTCAGCGACATGGATTTTTGAACCAACAGGAGGCGGTCACCCTACCCGAGATGGATATTGAGAGTGGGCAGCAGGTAGTCGAAGCCTCGGCCGATTCGTTGGCCTGGATCTTGGAAGAAGGAAAGGTCGTAAGACTCCCGCGCACAATCACCGGCCAGGAACTGGTTCGGATGGTTAAGCTGGAAGCGGAGTTCAGCACGGTTTGGGGATATACGTCGGAGCCAGCCTCGATGAGACCCCGATACTGGCAGACCTTAGACTTTCCAGACGAGGTCTTGGATGATTAGCCCCTCATGTCAATTGGATGTGTATGTGTGTGTGGGTTGCTGTTGATGATATGTAAAACAGGTCTTATGTCTATGTGCATCTCAGCAGGTTTGAATGATACGAGGGAAGGTGAGGTTCAACACTTTCTTTATACCTACCTTGATCCGTGGTTTCCCAATCATCCTGGCTACAATCGTTGTCCTACTTCATTCTTCTCTCCCGCTTTTTTTTCTCTATTTTCTTTTTTTCGCTTTTCGCACACCCTCCACACGCTTAGGTCTTCGTCTATTTCGTCAGACCATATACCCTGTGAATCCGGGCCTATATACGGGCCACGTTACGGATATTGCCAACGACGTTTCCAAAGGTGTCGACAAAGCTTACCCATACTCGTTGGGAGCCAATAGTTCTGTTCCACTTCACTTGTTCCTATACCTGGGATGGTTCACAATGCGAGAGACTGCTCCTCATTTCCCCTGTCCGCTACTAGTGTCTCTAGCATTGCATGATATAGAAGCACCTTAAACAATCTGGTAGACCTACAGACATTCAGTTATAGAGATACTAAGACACATGAGGCGTCATAGTGTGGTTGTGCCGCTCCCCCTCTATTCTACAATTGATTAATGGCCTAGGGTCATCAAACCTACTACATATTTGGGTATCCATTTTGCTTACCTAAGTAAGCACAGAGACTCTCACAGTTACAGGGATGATTATTGATAAGAACATTCATGTCAAGACCAGGAGCAGCGTTCTACGGCCCCATCTTGTTGCCCGTGAATATGGAATGCCATCCGTGGCAGCTCTGGAGGAGTCGGGCGGAGGATGACGGGGCATACTGCAATATAGATTCCTGAGCCGTATGCGGCCATCTGGCTTCGCTCTGCCAAAGATCGTCAGTGCATAGGACCGAACAACCACCAGGCTCCACTGTATCCACGATCTATGTTACACACCTAAATTTGAAGAAATTATCAGATATGGACTCTATGTTCCAGGCCGTGCAGGTGGCTATTGCCAGAGTCGTTCGGAATGGGGTCGAGGCGTCCAAGCATAACTAATTCTGAATAAGGGAATCTTATATTGACGTGATAGAGCTGACTTTCTCAAATGCTGTGTTGGTTGATCTTGCCCCATCAGGAAATCTAGCGGAGCTCTCGAGGTCAGCGATTTAGATACCAGCCAGCGCACGGATGTTGCTTTCTCTTCAACCCAAGTCTGCACAACGCATCTCACAGTGCGGGCAGTCAGGCGGCAAGCAAATAGATCTCCAGCTACATCTAGCTAAGCTAAGGGAGATTTAAGTTCGCCACCTTTATTTTGCTTTTGCCCCGGCAAGAACTGAGGCGAGAAATGTACTACGCGGTCTACGGAGACTCGAATGCAGGATTTCTTGTCAGGGTTTGTTGGTAGACCATGTGATTGCGATCATATTCCTCGAACGTTCTCACGCGTGGATCTGTTTTGCAGGACAAGGGACGCACACCGAGCTAATTGCGCTATGAGAAAGGTATTGGAGGAAAGTCGCCGCGCTAGACTCTGAATGTCTGGTGCGCCGCCTCAAGCGGGCGAAAGACGCATTGCGCATTGAGGAGAGCAAGCGATGTTTATGTTGGCATTGAGTTTTTAGACGGAGTCCGAATACGTAGAATTTCGAACCCCTGTCACAAACATAGGTAGTACTAACTTTTTCGTTCATGCACATATTCGCCTCGCATGCGCAACCTGGTCAGCCATAGCCACGACGGCCCCATCAAATACCACGCGAGTTTGGCGAGTGTTGCCCAGAGAGCCACCATCAATGCGGGCTTCAGATGGCATCTTCCGCGTAGACATGCCTGTAAGGCGTATACGGTGGAAGCGCAAATTTTAGAAATAAGTGCCCGTCCTCAGCTCCTTTGTTTCTCTACTGGACCTTTACTAGGGATACAAATATCCTTTGACTGATAACGTTTTGTTTGAAATACCTGTGCTTCTTATCATAAGTAGAACGCCGTTTTATATATCTCCCAACATCCTCGGAGACCGGATCTGCATGCCGTGGGTCCGTCAGGCTGGACGCTTCGAAGCGGAGGGGCCCAACAAGCACCCCTTCCAAGATCAGAGTCTGCGCACATTGAACAGCAGCGCAGAGCTTGGCTGCTACTGTATCAAACAAACAAGAATTGCCCCGCGAGAGCCCCAACGACCACCAGCAGAATTGGCGTGTATATGCTCGTGGATCGATCCAAGACCGCCAAAGCAAGAATGTAAAGCACAGCCGAGGGGGCACTTTTGGCGAGAATCTCCACAGCTCTAGTCGCGCCGATATTTTCGCGGTTCTCAGTCCCTTCAACGCTGGATCTCAGGGTTTGTGCGGCGATGATTGCGATGACTCCGGTCACTGCGCCGCAAAGCCCGTCGAAGAAATCAGAGAGGAACTGCAGTTGGTACTGTTAGCGTCATGGCCGGAAAGATTTGAAAAAAAAGAAAAAAAAAAAAAAGAGAAAACGATTAAGATAAGGGTAACACAAAGTCTCACCTTGTTCCGAACAAGTTTCTCCAGCAGGTCATGCCCAGCAATGGTAAAAATAAAGCACGGAGCAAGCATTCCAATCGTGATGATCACTGCACCTGCAAACGCATTGCCCAGGCCCCCATCAGCCAACCCGCCTTGAAAGCCGACAAACGTGGCGAAGATAACGAGCGGCGCGGGTAGGATGTTGCCAATTGCAATGCAATCCAGGAAAATATTCGCGGGTAGCCAGCCACCCTTCAGCACAGCTTCCACTTGAATGAACGGAATCGCAGTGTATGCACCACCGAACGATAAACTTCCGGCCATCAGCCCCAGCGCAAGAAGGTTGGGCAGACTAGGTGTTTGGACGATGCCGAGGGCCAACGACACCGCGGACGGGACACCGCGAAAGACCACGTAGATGGCGAAGGCGACATATAGGAGGACAAATAAGGCGCCGGCGATGATCCATTTGCGGCGTGCAGACACTGCCCAGTTGGCTTGGAATAATTATGCCAAGAGGTCCTCAGCCATGAGGCCGGCCATTGGCTATCATGGCTTGCCGTATGAAATGGGTTCCTGAATCTGGAAGCCGCAGCCTGCGCGAGAAATTTTCTTATTTTTTCAGCATGCATCTCAAGATGGGCTTGACTTCTCCCAGCTGAAGACAAAATGAGGAGGACATTCCCCGGCAGTCCTCGTATTTACCCCACAGAGCTATCCTTGGCTTCGCTGGGCAGCGTGAAGTTCATCTCGAAGCGATGATGGAAGTACCCTGCCAAGCACGAGCTGACCCCGTATTGCGGCCGCTAGTGGGATCGCTCTGGTCATCCTGCTATTACAGATATTGGATAATCTCTTTAACTTTACCTGTTTCTTAGGCGGGTCGGGCCGGTTTTCACAGGCTGTGGTATGTTCAGTGCATGGTGGTTGACCTGAACTCACCCTCGCCCTCCAGGCCACTCTCCATGTCCGCCAGACCATTTTTCGAACAAACTTTACCTGGAAAACAGGAATGTGAGGAGTAGGGAGCAGGCTGAATATAAAGCGTCGCAGGAAGCTATACCTCTTTGAAGGCAGCATTGTGGCGAATAATATTGTCCTTGCCATCTTCAGTCGTGGGCCCCTGAACGTAATTTCGTCTTCGCTTGCCCTTTTATGAGACATCAACAACAATTTTGCTCTGAGTTCAGACAATGCACTGGATGATATAGAGACTGAAATCTACAGTCTCATTCGGGAATTATTCTACATATATTTAACGTCCGCTTCCGGCTAGATTGAGAGAATCAGACCTTCAGCATTCAATAACTAAAACGTTTGAGTACTAGCGTGAAAGCTCCACGAGACGCACCATATAGAAGTGAGAATCACACTAAAATAACAAAGGAAAAAAATACTCAACTGTCATCAACTATGATTGCTGCACCCTAAGCCAATCCCAATGCCTTCGCCTCCAGATCCACAATGGACGGAATCAGCTCCATCAAACTAGGCTTCGAAGGCGACCATCCCAACAACTTGCGCGCACGCAAGGAATGTCCGCGCGAGCAAGTCCCCAACGCATACAACGCGAAATGATCCATCTCCATCACCTGCGCATCACTCAGCGGCTCCACCTCTGGCGAGGGAATCAGCTTCTTCTCATAGGCAACCCGCGCGACCTCCCGCTGGATATCCCCCAGACAAACGGCCCATTCTCCGCGAGATAATACCCGGTCTCGTTCCAAGTGGTGTCTCGTTCCAAGTGGTCTTACCTCCGCCGGCAGCGGCGGCATCACCCAGTAGACAGTACACGTCGCTCAAGTCCTGGACATGCACCTGGTGCCAGATGTTCTTGCCCTCGCCAATGAGAAGACCCTTGCGGCGCTTGAGCACAGCTGCAGCGAGCCAGTAGGCCTGCACACTTTTAGTGTTGCTGGGACCGCGATTTGGGCCGTAGATGGTGGGCGGGCAGATGATTGCGGTGTGCACGCTTGTTGGGTTGGCGGGGCCAGCGGCGAAGATGATCTCGTCCACTTTACGGTGGAGAGAGTCCGCTGGGAGGTTGACGAGTTCGTCGACGCCTTCCCAGTCATTGTGTTCTTTAGTGCGGTAGAGACCAAAGGTGTTGGTGCGGAAGTCCTCGATGGTGAGAATGCCCGTGCCGGAGGTGTGGATTAGCCAGACAGGGTTGCGAGGAGTGTGATGGGCGAGGCCTTTGGCGATGGCTTTCGCAGAGGCGACATGGTCGCAGTCCGCGCAATCCGGGAGGGTATTAGATAAAGGTGTAAGCTCCTTGGAGGGAGAAAGTAGGCATACGGTAGATGATGTTGGCATTCTTGACCTCCTTCTCAATGATATCAAGTAAGTCAAGGTCGCCATAGACAATGCGTGCGGAGGGATATTTCTTAGCAACTTGTGCGCCCTTGTCTTTGTTGCAGATGAGGAGTGAGTATTCCCAGTCGGGATGAGCTTGGTGGAGGGCGTAGAAGACATCACCGCCGATGTAGCCAGTGACCCCGTGCTGAGAATGATCCATTGTTAGTTGTTGGCGGAGGGGAAACTGGAGGTGGAGTAGATGTACAGAAAGACCTTGGTCAGAGCCATATTCAAGTCTTGAATGTGGGTTGGTAGGTGAATCTTTGGATTGTCCCTTTGTGTAGAAGACTTTACTCTGTTTAGAGGGAGCAATATATGATTATACAGCTCCCAAGCAGTGGGCTCCCCGGTTGGACTTGACCAAGTCATTGTTCCAGGGGCTTTTCATGATGACTTGACTACTCACCAGAAAGCGACACAGGTAGAAGCTGTTGTGGGTGCAGTGTGGATTGATTCCAATAGAAATTGGGATGCTACAGAAAGGTGCTACAGAAGGATAAAGCCTTGAAAGAGTACTTTCAAAAACTAAATAGACAGTCACATTATGCCGGTACAATCTGGATAGTGGTGGATAACTGGAATTCATGTTCGGTAAAAAGGACTCATGACTCTAAAGCAGAATACGATTATCGAACGGCCATGCTGCTTCCGACCCAACTATTTCTGTTTCAGAATGTGAAGACAAGGTCATCGTAGTTAGGATCAGGCACTTGTATAGCAGCCAGGTACTCGCTGTGAAGCGCTGCTATCCAGCCAACTGTGAATTTCCATGCGGGGGGCATTTATGGGTCTTTTGCATGACCAAGCCAAAAGCAACAACCAGCAGAGTGATGGAGGAATAGAAGATGGTCTCGAATCCCGAGCAAGAGACCTAGTGGGATATAGGCAAATAACAATAGAGAATGAAGAGGGGAAGGTCAAGACTGAGGGCGCTTTGCAACTGGTGTTCTCCTTGTCAATTCGCGACTTTCTTGGAGCATTATATATGCCGCAATGTGCTCGGAAGAAAGGACCAAACTCTACAAAGGAGTCGTTTCCTCAGCCCGGCAAAAGCAAGTCAGGCGATAAACAAGGCGGAAAGGAGTACACTCCTTCCACAGGGCGCGTCACAATCCACCATTGTATGGGATGACGTCGCATAATGTAGTACTGAACGGAGAACCTGCATGCAACCTCATCTCCAATTTCTGACTGCGCGAGAAAAGGCTGGGGTTTCATCGATGTGCATGGTTTCTGGGCCAATTGATTTGGCAGACACGTCAACTTTTGCGTTATTATCAGCCTTGCTTAATGCATTAATAAGGGGCGGGCTTCACCTGAAACAAAGCTCAACCCCTCAAGGCAGAATCTGATGGCGATTAACTCTTACTTGAAGTATTAAAGTTCCATGAGAACAGTCCAGAATCTTGGCACGGCACCCTCTCTGGGCTTATTCAACCAGGATCTGCTGCTGACCCTTCTGGTCGACCTGGTTTGTCCACGCTCCATCGCTCCACGAGCGGCCTCTCAACACTAAGAGTGGGCTTTTCCGTGGTGCCATTCCCAACAGGACCGGAGTAAATAATCATGGAAGTTGTATCATTGTTCTTTGATCGTCCTCTTGGCGTCACACTTCGATATCGATGCATCTACGTGCCTCTTCATTTATCCCACTGGAACTTGATCGGTGGTCCTCTGAGGCTCAAGGTCTGTCTTGCCTCCTATGGGCCTCTGCCTGGGTTGAAGCGCTGAAGCGCTGAGACGAGGCGTCAGAGTGGGTGTTCACTGCGGACCGATTAAAACCGGAAGTGCGCTGAAGGCGTTAGTGTTTCAACCAGCATAATCCATCTGGTGACTCTGCGCATGAATAATATTGGACGGCCTTCACAAGATAAGTGCGGGATATTATTGGTTGATGAAAAAGCTGGCTGACTTCGTCAGCATGACACATTCCAGACCCTTTGCGTTGACGGTCTTATCCGATTTCTCCCATCGATAAAGTTAGCCTGATATCTCTCCCTTCCTCTGGTCGGGCAACACCCAATTCCCACTAGCAGGGCAACTCTAATATGCGGTAAGGATGATGGAAGGTTTGTCGCCGTTGATGCAGCAGAAGCAATTCCAGAAATACCGGCGGGAAGTGAAGCAATCACGATGTTATGCTCGCCCATCTTGCCCCAGGTATATGAATTCGAGTCTCTCTGGTGCTGGACAAAGCCATGAGGCTTATCGTGACGCTCGACAAGCATCGCAGTTGCTGCGGCTCGCTTAATAGGTAGAGCAGCGATCCATCGTATCGTGTACAGTTCCGGGTCTCCCAAAGCTATCGAGGCCGACAGGATCCAGAGAACGACAAGGGAAACGACTCCAGAGATTCAGAAGGATACGTTTGAATGTGTCGCGACTTTTGATTCGGGAGTTGGACTTGGGTGGGTTCCTGCCCCTGGGGCTGAGCCGTAGCCAACACTGCCACGTCATTATTCTTCGCCAAGAAGCTTCTCGTATTTCACGTCTGGGACATGCACCCACAGAGCTGGCTCTCGGATCTTCCGCAAATCCACTTCAGCCTCGTCGGTGTCCTCGGGGAAGTGTGGCGGACCTGCGTGTCTGAGGTCCCCGAACACGAATAAGGATCCGGGGTGGCACACGACAGCATATCTGTCGCGACATGTAATGAATGGCTTGGAGGAGACAATGCCGACCATTGGAGTGGTCATGGGATCAAAGGAGAGTTTTCGTCAATCCCACGAGGCGGCGATTCGAAACAGGGGAGGAGCTAGATAATATATTCAAAAATCATAGATCCTGGCCAGTAGGCGCCTGACCCTCACTTAAGGTTTTCCTAAGAGAGTTGATCGATTGTCCTGGGGACATCCCTATTAAGGTAATGGTCCAAAAAGTGTTAGATCCACAGAACAACAGAGATCTGTGCCCTATATCCGGCCAAACAAGACAAACAGGACCCCAACCCAGCAAGCGAATGTGCCTCTCACCGAAACCCGCAACACAGCACCAGCCCCCGTCGGAGTCGGCCCCGGCCCACCCAGCTCACTCTCCTCAAAGCTAGCCGCCGCCTCAATCGCCTCCACCTCTTCAACCGACCCAACCACCGCCGCGTCCCCATAATACCCGAGCGCCGTGCACTCGTGCTGATACGCCGTCCAAAGCCGCCAGCGATCCGTCATCCGGCCCCTCCTGCATGCACCAGCGACACCCCCTCGTCCGCCGCAGGACGGGAAGCGTACACATGCATTCGCCGGCAGTCCGATTCAGCAGGACGCGGCCCGTGTAGGGTCCAGAGATGATGCTGACTACTGGGGGCATGTGTTCTGCGTCGAGTGAGGTTAATCTGCATTCGTCGGCCTGGGAGCGGATGAGGCCGCAGACGTTTTGGCATGTGTCGGTGTTGGTGTCGGAGTTGGTGTCGGAGTTGGTGTCGGTGTCGGTGTCTTCTGTTCCCGTCTCGACATCGCTCGCGGTAAAAGCGGCAGGTAGCGCCGATCGCGTCGTGGACGGATACGCAAGCGTCTCATTCTCGAAGTATCCGAAAGAATAGCAGTCATTGCTATACCGCCCGAGAACCTCCCAGTGATTATCGCGCGGCTTGTCTTCGCCGGATTCGAAGATGTCGGTGAGGAAGCACTGCTCGCAGGGGTAGCGGAAATACCGCCGGGTCTTGGTGCAGAAGCACTCTGCGTCCGCGATCGACTCTAGGAAGTTTGTGGTTGGGCCGCTGGGCGCGAAAAATGTACTCTCGACGCCGGTTATGTTGACGCGACTGGTATCCGCCGGTCGAGTGTCGTCGATCGTGGTGTGGTCTGTTGAGAGTGGGGGAAGAGAGCAGGATGAGAGGAGGGTGGAGATCCGCTCGCAGCTCTGTTCGCAGATGCTGTGGGCTGGTGAGATCAAGACGCCCAGGAGGAGAAGGAGGGGAGGGAAGATCAGGTGGATGCGCAACATGGCCGGAGTAATGTTGTATTCCTCTCGAGCATGTGTCCACTGTTCAATAATGGCGCTCACTATTGGGAACGAAACTAACTGGGGAAGAGCATGGCTTAAGTACCCACCCTGCGACCGTTACCGAGTCCCTGGCTTCTTCTTCGTCCCCGTGTTCCTTTTCCTCGCCCCCGCCGCCTGTTTCGCAAATTGCATCTCACACAATACGAGGCCAAGGGTTGGCCAAGCGTGGGCCAAGCCTTGTCGTGTGTCTGTTTCTCAATCACCTATGCAGGTTCTTATGGCTTGTTAGTATCTTCGTGATTGGGCACTGTGGCAGGGTTTATGGAACTGGAAAACCTGCGATACAGAGGGTGACGGTGTATACCGCGAATAGGGTGTATGTCCAAATGAATGATTGTACTTTGCAAGGAGGGGTCTTCTGCTAACCCACTGGAACAGATCGGGCCCCGGCCTCGGTTCGTGATCAGGTTGCTGACCATGAGTCTAACGCGGTCATATACTATCTGAATGAAAAGGTTGATTTTGACACGGCGGCTGCTTTTCACAGACGAGCGTCCAACGAGGTGGTGCAGAGGGAAATGCGGACAGCCACTCTGGTAGCAGATAATACGGCCCCGATTCGCCTGACCGAAGAGCAGTCACGCAAAATCAGCAATCATCCCAAAGTCCGACGGCTGCGCGCACGATGCCAGCAGCTGACTTTACAGATCTGTCAACTTGGATTTACCGTCAAGGAGGCTCAACATGATGAACTCGGGTTGAGTCTGGACGAGGAAGAAGACACCGAGGCCAAAGGGATCTGCAAAGAAGCCTTAAAGATCGGTCGGCAAAAGAAAGAAGCAGATGCTGAGTTAAATCGGACTCTCACTAAGCTCCGCGAACCAGCCCTGGAGAAGAACCGGAAACGACATTTCCGGAATACCGACACGGAAATTTTTAACCGGCAATATGAAGCTCAGCCCTGCGATGAGGAAAGTGAACAACAGAACATACAGCCAAATCGCTACTTCATCCCAGAGCGAGAAGAGATAGTGCAGTTGCTCTGCTACTCACCGGCGCCGCGGATAGACGAGGAGGCCCATCTTCGTCGATTGGATTTCATCCGCCTCATGGTTCGGTGGCAGCGCCGGAAAGAGAGCCCCCGCCGTGGGAAGCAAGCAAGCGCTGTAAATTCCCAGCCGGAGTGGGAAACAACGACGAGGGAAACCGCTCCAGCAAATATTGCAGAGAAATATCATCCTCTGCAGTGCCCGTTCTGTCTGTCAGACCGAAGCTTACCTCCTATAGACCGTGAGAAGAAAAAGAGCAAACGCAATAAGCTGTGGGATCATGTGGAGACCATGCACAAACTCGAACTCGCAGCGTTCGATGACGGCATAAACCCTTGTGGATTATGTGACATGAGAAAGGTTCACTTTGTCCCTCCGAGCGTTCACACTTCAAAAACCATACCCAGAAGGTCCATGGAATCCGGCTTCGCCCTTGATATGTGCCTTCATTACACTCATTATCACCAACAGGCTTCCTCATCTGGAATACCTGCTTTTCTTATTTCATGAAAGTTGGGAAGGGGTTAATTTGTACGCTTGATAGTATGAGTCTTGGATTCTTTCTCCTTATACTCTCTATTATTGATGGTCATCTTCAAGTGCTCTGCCAGACAGAGATGCTTACAAGCTTGGGTTCGGTCGTCTCTGCCACCCAAGGTGAAATAAAGTAGTAGAAGAACTCGAAAGGGTTCAGGCACAATGAAGCTTACGCTTTGTCCATGCCGTTCTTTATGCCTCAGCAGATACATAAACGCCCTCGACGCCAGTCTTATCTCATGTTCACAACACTTATCAACTCCAACTTCGTCCAGCAACTCCATAGTTTAGTTGCTATAGGTCGCTAATAGTCATATTAGCACGCCTCGAAATGCAAAGCCACTAAAAAACACCTACCCCGCTATCGAAACCATCCATTTTCATTGTAGACTATGGAGCTATCATCGATGTAGTAGTTTGGGCTTGCATTAAGCGGAGAAATACCGCAGCAAGCCGCAAGGTGGGGTGAGCTGAAGCCAGTAACATGACAACCTCGGACAAGCCTTGACACGCGAAGGTGGGTGATCCGCTAGTCGTTGATTGCGCGGACTATTGTGCATATGTGGTAAATTGAAAAATGCGGACTAGTCACGCCTCCTGCAGGTTATCTCGCGCACGCCATCTGGTGGTAGACCAGCCGATCCGGTCTTATGCGTCGGGGTCACCTCACCTTCATTACCGTAAACCGATATGGTGCTTCTATTTCGTCTCCTTAGCCTGGGATCCGACCCGATATTCTTATCCCATGAATGTCCGGCGATGTGGGAGGAAATGGTATCCGTTCGATCCTCCACGCTGCCAGGAGGGTTGAGATAGTCAGTGGAAGCTCGCGCCGGTTTTGGTCGGGGGCAGAGACGCGGAGGCCCAAAGGGTGGTAAGGCCATGTATGAGCCCTCAAGCGGTTGCTCCTCGGCTTCGTTATAGTCTTTCTTGTTAGAGCATGATTCATCCTTGGATCCGGTTCCCGAGCCGCAGGGGGGAGAAGGGAGAGTTGGTGGTTTAGGAGATGATGGGTGAGACGAGGCTCTCTGCCATGGATGGGGGCGCTCACAGGGCCGGAGGAGGTCTTTTGTTCGGAAGGCGCCTCCTCGTCCTCTGCTAAATCTACCACTTCTGTCGGGAATATTGCATCTCCACTCCCTTGGCTCGGGAGAGAGGACGGTGGAGTAAGCCGTGACGGGTGGTCTGGAGTAGGAGATGAAGGGGGCGGCGCGGAGTCCATGGAGGATGGGCTATCTGGGGGTCGATTTTTTGGCACGCGGGATATCTCTTTTTTCAAGCTGCGTATAACCTTCTCCCCAAAATGATTTCGGTCAGAATTGTGATTATGTGAAGCTGTTTTTTGTTGTTCAAAGAACTGCTGCTGCGCCTGCTGGGCTTTCTGGAGTTTGTCAAAATCGATTCTGAGCATTGCCGTGAACGACTGTCTATGAAGTGCCTTGTTAATAATGGCTATGGCACAGGCGAAGGGAAAGGAAGTGGAGCCTTAGCGAGGCTGAGATTTGATGGAGCTTTCAAGTACATTTGCCGTGCCATCTGGACACCAATAAGCGCCGCAACTGTCCTCATCGACCCTTCAAATACCCCGAGTTGATAGAACAGCGGCGGAATAACTCTGCTGCTCTGCCTATACCAGTCGAGTCGGGCAATCCACCTTTCAATAAGCTCAACAGGGCTGTCATGGAGGTCGAACCAGAAGAATTGAACAAAGTCCTCCAGCGTGTCAATGAGCCGTGTTGTTTCTGTCGTAATCTTCCTCATCAGTTTGCGGTGCTTCTTAAACATCGGTTCCAGTTCTGGAATCTGCTTCGCCTCGTCCATTGTGTCCTGGTAGAAATTATATGTCAACGCAACGGTCTCGGTTCTCTTCATGATTTCTTTGACATCGGCCTTCGCATGGCGCATTTTCTTGTAAGCGCGTTCCATCTTCTGGGCAAGTGTTACAAGGTCCTTGGCGATTGGGTAGGCAATGCCTGCTACTCCCAGAGCTTCTGCCATAATGTCACGTTCCGTGTTGATTTGGCTTACATGACAAAACAATGAAGCATAACAGCGCGAGGGAGGGTCCGGGAACGGATCGTAAAGCTTGAGGGCATGGAGGCGCTGGTGGGAATTTATGCTCGTCTCAACCGGGCTGAGATGGTGGTCTTTGTTGGGGCGGGGGGAGAAATGAGACAAGAGCAGGTCGATTAATTTGGCAGGATTGAGCCTTGCTCCTCACTGCAGTGATGGGCAGATATAAATTGATTATGTCGTTAGCTGCCACATGCGGGCAGACGCGCTGCTCGCTAGCTATACATGGCTAATTCATTTACAGCATGAGACCCGGGACAGAGCTGTAAAAGTAGACAGAGGTCTTCAAAAAATCCATGAAAAATACATCAAGCAAAGAGTAAAGTGAAAAGGCGAGGAACGAGGTAATCGGTCGGCCACCAGAGAGAGAAAAAAAGCAAGTAGTACTACCCCGCTTCGCCTGACCGCGCCCTGCGGGAAAAGTGAGGCTCCCGGTCTTGAAGGGCCAGTCTTCAACTGCCACAACCGAGAGCCTGACCAACGACACCAAGACCGCATTTACGGCTGTCGAGTACACGACCTGACTGCATCTGCCTCGTGAGGCACAGCGACCGTCATTTATACGGTGGTTCATTCGACGCTGGAGCCATGCTCAGATAGCCGCAAAATATCAAGGCCCAGATTGGTGGCACTGACGCCTTTGTGGCCCTTGGGGTGGGGGGCGGGATTTACCCGCAAAAGTACAGTATGTCCGCTGTTCACTGCGCCACTCGCTACCCCGACATCCACTTCGTCATTTGTGCATGGGTTATTGAGGCTCGAGGTATCTCATCGTGCTCATTTGTTGAATTGCCTATCGGCCTTCAACGGTAACTACCTCTCCAACTTTCTTTATCCAATAATGAGTTTCACATCCAAACCTCTAACAGGCGCCAACGGAGAAGTTCCAGCACCACTCACCGCCTTTGGCCGGACATAGTGCTGCTGATCTGGCTCAACAGGCCATCCGCCTCTCTAGTTCACTCGCTCCACACCAGTGTTGAAGTTGTCAACTGAGTCATATTCGTACAAAAATAACCGTGCCCTCAAGCCTTGTTGCTGAAGGAAGGCATTTAGCCAGACTTCGCCCGGTTCGTTCGACGGTTCGCGCCATGAAAAAACCGAACATCTTCCAGTTGTATCCAGAAAATCAAGACCATGGACCGCGATAATATTTGGTCGAGTTAGCAGATATATGGTTCTACAGATCCGCCTAATACCCGGACCACAGTATAGTCTTTATAGAGCCATAGGTAGTTGGCCACCGGTGCAGGTCGCCGCAATCGCTCGTCCGGTGAATATGAGTACAACTCCGAGTGCACCTGGTATAGGATGCACAGACCCCGTCAAGTCTGGGACGCCGAGCACCTATGGGAGGGTTTTGCGCCGCTGAAGGGATGGTTCGAATCCGATAGGTTGTATAACGCAAATAAAAAGGGTACCTCTATAGCTCGAGAGCGTCGTGAGAAAGGGCCCAAGCTACCTCACAAATAAGACCTATGAAAGATCTCACGGCGCACGCGGGCAGGCTAGTCAAAGCCTTGTCCCGGGTCAACTTGCTTGCGATAGCACCAGCTGTCGTTGGGGGCCCCCTGCCCGTTCTTTGAGTCAGAGAAGGAAGGGGCATGCAGCATTCTAGCTTTCTGTAAGGATGATGCAGGCAGAATTGTAACCCCGACCATCACACGCAGTTCTGTCGCGGACAAGTTTATGCTCCAACACTGCGTGAAATGATGAGAGTACATAAGCAGTCAATCACGTGTGGGCTGTGTGATAAAGGTTGGAGTGCTCGTGCTGCTCCTCGTCCTGGTCCTTATCCGGGTCGAACTCGAGCAAGGGCGGACTATCATCAACGGGAGAGGTCTCATCCATAGCAGTCGCAGCTAACGAAGGACCCTTATTAGACAGTTCCCCCTCTTCTAAAGCCCCTGCAGTAGTCTCAATGCCGCTTTTTGTCCCATTCCTCTCGCGCCGTCGCTCAAGCCACTCTGTGTAACCATCCTGCACCACCGGCCCCTCACCGACCCCATCCGCCTCGACAACAAGAACCATTTTCCTCACTCCGCCAACCTCAACGTGCTGCTGCGTAATCATCCCGTACCTCGTCGCTCCCCGAAATGGATGGAGTTGTAGTTGGTGAGCGCTACCAGGTTTGAGAAGCGGTTGGCTGATGCCACTTAACGTTTGGGCGGCAGTGGCAGTGGCAGCGGCAGCCTTCACGTTGAACTCTGCCATCTGGTGGATCTGGCCAAAGTCATCATTGTCTTCATCCTTATATTATTGCCAGGCCAGCTGTTTCCGTTGGAGGGCCCAGACCGGTTTATCGCGGAGCTGGTGAGGTGAGGGGTCTTAGCGGGGTCTTTTGGTGGATTCGATTGATTGATTGCGGGGGAGAAGGAAAGCGTACCTGGAAGGCTAATCCCAGTGCAAAGGTAAGAAAGACACGCGCACCGAGGATGAGAATGATGACTTCATCAGAAGTCTTCATCCCATCGAGGTCTGGGAGGTGGTGACCACGGCCATGGGCGAGATCTGTGGAGTTGGATTGGCCGGTGGTTTCCATGGTAGTTTGCGAGGCAGTGAGGGCCAGCGATGTCAACATGGCCGCAGAGGATGAGCGATAAGAAACGACAGTACCAAAGTCTACTAGGCCCAACCCGGGATAGCCCGAGCGAACGGGAGGCGCTTGCGGAAAATGACAGCCAAGCGCGGGGCCACGTGCGTGAATAACACAATCTGTTTCGCCAGTTGCAAAATTGATCTATCACGATGCCAAATTGTCCACTTCGCTCGCAATCAATCCCGGAAAATCAGCCCGCCTCCGACAAAGGAGGTTTCCCGGCCGCAGGCAGTGGCAGATCCACGATCCATATGATTATCCCGCTTACTGCTTGGAGGAGACACCGGAGAAGAGTTCCACTTGCCTTGACGCGTAATGCTCCATCTTTGTCCGAACCTCGAAGCTTAGTGAGTCTAAGCAATTGATCCTGACTCGGCTTGCGGACAGATCAGCTCCGGCCAGACGAGTCGGGCGCGCTGGTGTCGCACTCTCGTCTTGCTAGGAATTACTTGCCATCTCGGCCGCCATAGTGGGGACCCAGTTCGAGTCAGTTCTTGGCTGTCAATGCCCACACCAGTCCAGCTTGGGCAGTTGGCCCAGTGACTAGCACGACTGCAAAGAGGGGGCGGATGAGCATCCAGGAATTTACCGAAAAAAGGCGGCAATGGTGTGAAGAGGAGTCGATGCGAGTCTAAGGACGAGGCTTGCGTGAAAAGGACGCCGTCTTCCTTAGGAGGAAGCGACCAAATCTTACTTCTTTTTCTTCTCACCGCAACTACTGCTGCACCTCGCGATCGCAAGCCATGGACGACTCACTTTCTTTCCTCTACGCTGCTGCAATAGGCGATGTCGCGGCCCTTGAGCGCGAGTACACAAAGAACAAGGGCGTTCTCTCTGCACGCAACCCGGAAGCGCGAACCGCCCTCCACCTTGCCGCGCTTCACGCCCACCCGGATGCCCTCCGTCTGCTGCTCAGCTACGGCATATGCGCCGCCATTACCGACGCCCGCGGCCAGTCAGCCCTACACATCGCAGCGCAAGGCTCTTCCACAGAGGTTGTTGAAGCGCTTCTCAAGGATGGTTCAGGCTGCTCGACTCGCGACAAGGATGGCAAGACTGCCCTCGCATACGCGTATCAAAACCCATCCAGCGATATTTTCACCTGGTTCATCGCCTACGCCCCGAGCTGCGGCTCAGGCTGTTCGCTCACTCCGGCAATTGTCCTCGGGTCCCGCCGTGTATCAGACACTCAGACGAATGATGCCGCCGCCGTCTCCTGTGCACACCTAGCACCGGGCCCTTCAAAGCCCTGCTGTGGCATGGTCAAATGCAAATAACTCAGCCAGGGTCAGGGTATTCACCACCCTTGCCACTCGGTGTCTCAGCGATATGCTCAATACTCATCATACCTCAAGTCGCAACGCGATCGCGATTCGCTCACGTCGTCCAGCGCCACCACCGCGCCGTCGCGAGAATCTCGACCACGAGGCCCATCGCATCGGCCAATCCGCAATGGCGCACCAGCACGTGCTTTAGTTCAGAGCGCTTACGATCTCGAGAACGAAGACGCTTCATCCAAATGCGACAACGGGAGCTACGGGAGAAAGACTCGCAAAGCAGCGCAGAATAATGGCGGCCACGGGCGGCTGTCGACCACACTTGCCTCCCTCGCTGCGACATTCAAGAGGCCGCATAGCCTTCCATACTTTATAGCCCTGCTTGCCTGCACGTCGGCTGACGTCCACTCCTACGATGTATTGATGTACTCGTAAGAATGACAAACCCAGCAAAGTCATAAACGTGAATAGGGTTGAATTCGCATGTACAGGATCATGATTTTACTTCCATCATCATTAGTGCTGAGATATCACTGGTTATTTTCCGTTTCTTCATTCAGTATTCATTTATTCCTCTGGGCCGCCTATGGTACTATCCTCAAGCTTCCCCCGTCTCCAGTCAGCTACAGAAGAACAGGCGGCCATCCTCGAAGCACGATCAACCAATCGAGTCGCGGCCGTTACTACGTGATTACCCATATTCTATACTCCCGAGTCCACGGTGGACGCGGCCGTCCTCATATTGGGCTTTACTTACTAGTCTCGCTGGTTCAGTCCCACATGTCTCAGGTTCGCCAAGATATCCTTCAGGCCCTGAGCCGGATGCATGACTCGGGCCGGTGCACATGAGTCGCCTGTCAGTCTTGAGTCTTGGCTCTCTTCCAGTCATACCTCGACGAAAAGATCCGACCTGATGTTACTCAATAGGCTATGAACCGGGTAAAGTTGCCGAAGCAATATACAGCATAAGGCGGTTTAATCTAGGATAGAAGTATAAATACCAATCATGGATCTCCAATAAAGATGGCAAGCCGATTCACCATCTCCAAACCCCTCATTTACCTCGCCCTAGCGGCCTTGTCAAGCATCAGAACTAACTAACTAGCCACAATCAAGACACTAGAAGCATCAGCTGAGGTTCGAACAAGCTGACATCCATTTATCTCACACATTACAGCTCCCACATCATGTCAAATCACTTCAAACCTGCTCAAACCCCCTCAAAATGTCCTCCTTAAAAGACCCCTCAACCTACGCCTATGAGCTGGGCGCCTTTTACCCGAAAGACAACAACCACCTCCACCTAGTGCCAAACATGGTTCTCGCACGGCCTCACCAGGGTATACACCTTTAACCACAGCGAAGGCGCTTTGAGAATGCTATCGCACATGATCCGAACCGCGCAATCACGCAATAGGGTCTGGCCTACGCGCGTGGGCCCAATTATAACTATGCCTGGGAGGATGTCTTATCCGGTGGCCGCTAGATGATGAAGTGAATGGAGCTGCGTTGTTCGGCTGAAGCCCTGATCCTTGGTGCGAATGCTTCGAATGCCGTGGAGCAAAAAAGAGAAAGGCGCTGTGTCGCGAGGACCTGGCACTTGAGATATCGGATATATTCGTGATCGCTGCCCTGAAAGTTAAAAGTCCTCGGCATGATGACCAATCATGGATTGGGGGAGGAAGAAAATCAGTTGGGCACGACGGCGGTGGGCGGATGGACTGAAAACAGCACCTTTCCAGGCAGGTTGGTTGCCCGGTAAAATGCGCAAGGGACGTGACATTATTCATTCTCGGCCGGCGCGAAGTACGGACATACATAAGGAACATGGTCATTCAGTGATTCCCTCTCGCCCGCAGACTATATCGTGACTTCTTCCCCAAACCCTGGTTCGTGCGTTGAGTTTTGATACGGCCACTGCCCGCTGTTTCTGCTAGGATGCAACCGTTCGAGGATGACCTTGGTACCGACGACACGGTCGTCGCCCTCCGAATCTCCAAAAATAAATATACTGGCGCCCGTGAGACTGACACGGGAAACCGCCTTTTTGGCACACTTTATCTCGCTTAGACTGACTGTGAGGGTAAGTCGCGCTGTGTGGAGATAAGAAAAGTTGTTTACTTCCTTCTATAGCTTCTCAATAGACGAAAAGTGATGTCATTCTATGGGTTTGGACGATTCCACTCTCTGGGATCAAACAAGTACTTCGTCGGTGGCGATTGACTCTCCACTAGACGTGTTATTTGCGATCAAGGAGGTGCTTGGGATTTATATCTCAGGTGTTGGTAATGGTCTAGAGTCTCTGACCGCGGAAAGAGCCTACTCCCCGTTTTGAAAGCCTGGGGACAAGCCCCATCTTTACTCTACTTCTACACAAAATTACTCCCTCCGCGTCAAAAAATACCAGGCGTTATCAGGATGAGCATTGAGCGATGATTTAATTATCTGGCATTCCCCCTCTATATTTAAGGAGCATGAGTAATCGGGTTTGGCATTGGGCAGGATGATGTTGAGTGCTTCTCAGAGCCATAATGGTTTACGTAAGGGGATAAAGTCTCATGTCATGTTTGACCGGTGATGTACTGTAGTTCAAATGAGAGGGCTAGGTAAACGGTTCTCGCTAAGTCAGTGAGCATCTTGAAGTTTGACATGGCCTCAAAGCTATTTAGGGGAAGATGATGCCCCTCTCTAAAGTCTCAGTCGCACGCAAATCACCTGATGATGGGCTAATAAGACCCCGCTCTACACTTCTGAGGCGCTAAAATTGCATCCAACTTTTGGGCCCGCTGGGCCGCCATCGGGTGCTATTTACAGGTGGGGCAACATCGAGGCGCCCCCAGTTCCATCGACAGCTGGAGGCTGGCTTCCTCACTCGGTGCTCTTTGACAGCCAGAGTCATCAGAATCAAATATGGACCTAGGCCCGTACCTTGCCTTTGATGGCCTGAACTACGAATGTACTATCTGCGACAGGATTTTCAGCTCTGAAACTGCTCTGTATACACATTGCAGAAATACGTCTCAACATTCATGGTGCGAAAGGTGCTGCCGGGTGTTCATTTCTATCCAAGCCAGAAATTCTCATCTTCGAGAATCCAACAAGCACTATATCTGTCCCAAGTGTCCTCAAGTACCAGATTTTGAGGCTACTAAAGAGCTTCAAAGTCACTTGGTGGAGTCTCATTACTTCTGTCCAGATTGCGGGCTTTATTATAACTCTTTCGAGACACTCCAAGAGCACGATGTTGCTCGACATAACCTCTGCATCACATGCGGCGATTACTTTACAAACAAGAATAATTTGCAAATGGTGAGGGACCAGATCAATATTGTCGAAAAGCATAAGTCGTTCGGGCTAATACTACTTTCACTTTAGCACCAACAGAAGCATAAACCTCGAAACATGGAATGCTATGGCTGTTATCGGCATTTCAAAACAATTTCTGGGATTCTAATTCATCTAGAGTCCGGGAACTGTGTGTCGGAGGCTACCGAGGAGGAGATTGATGATCTAGCCCGCCAGTGTTACCAGAATGGGAAGTATATAAATACTGGTCTCGAGGGCGACGAATGGCCATTCAAATGTCCTAGCTGCGATTATAAGTTTGCAAATCTCTCTGCACTCTATCAACATGCTGAGGATGTCCTGCTCTGTTCGTCTCTCCTTAGTGGGAATGGTTGTTTGGCTAAACTGGCACGTTTCATTGATCGGAGTCTACAATAGCTTCACTTTCCTGTTTCGAAGTGCCACCATTTTGTCAACAGACTGCTGATTTAGCGTCCACGCCTGGCCTTTGAGGGGAGTTCTACCTGGTTAACATGATACTGGAGTACAGTGTCGGGAAAATACCTGGCTGAAAGGTTTCAGAGTTCATTAGTTGCATTTTTTTACATTTACATCATACCAAAATCTCTGCCAACCCTTCTCTTTCTTTTCACCTTCGCATGCTGTGCATAGATCTCGGGAGTTTTTGGTGCTGCTCCCAGAACCATGGCATTTACTCCCACATTGAGCGGAAGATGGCTTTTTTCAAGAGTGGGACCCTGTTCAGGATTCGTTGAAAGTCGGCGTTCTGCGTCAGGATTTCCACATTCCACGTAGCGTAGCCTCGCAAGATATCTTGCATATTTTCCATATATTCGCTGTCCTCAAATACAAACTTCAACTGGCGACGGCGCTCTATAATGCCGAACATCTCCACCGCGTTCGACACAGCGCGCTCGTGCTGGGGCCGTACGGGAGGCCACCGAATCTGGCCCGCTTCGGCATCGTGCTCCTGATCGTGGAGGATATCGGGATGAGCGAGAAGACTCGCGCAATCCCGACCCTGGTCCTCGCGAGTGAACAACACCGCGCCATGGTCCGGAAGCTCATCGTTGTCTGGCAAATGGAAGACCTAGGTACCGCGCGGCGCGGCAACCCCTTGTGTCTCCCGTAGAACGGTGAGCTGAGCTAACATGGTGTAGACAATCGTCGGTGGATGAACATGCAGCATTTGCTGGACCTCGATCGCCAGGAATTCAAGGTACCCCGACCGTCGAACAGGCAGAGAGCCCTATACTGACCGTGATAGATCCTCCGATTCGTCCTTTACTATCGTCGTAACCACAAGAATGAGCCCTCTCGTCTTCCCGGTACGAGGATTCGATTCATGGAAGGGTCTGTGGATGTGGTACAGATGATAAGGACATACCTGAATACGCGTCGGGGAGTATGCTGGTAGGCGGTATGAACCCTGTGCGAGGCCGGGGGAAGGCAGATGCGTCCAGTAAAGCCATATTAACGAATCACTTTGTCTCCAGTCTGTGCTCGACACTCGATCCACAACCAGGTCACGGCGATCGTTCAGCCCAGGTTGAGCGATGACCTCCGGCTACTAGATCTTGAGGTTGAGCCGTTTCATCAGTGGTTGGACACTGACATAACGGTGGCCGACATGACGGGGCCATCCAGAAACCGCCGCCAATGGGTCGCCTCCAGAATAGCTGAAGGCCGTGGTCATTCCAGATGACCGATCTCCCAACGGCCCCTTGTTCGACGAGCACCCATTCTGATTCGATTAGTTTGCCAAATTCCCCCTACACGTCTTGATCCTACAGATGTTCTGACGATTTCTCTCGCGACAACGGTCACTTCAGGTCCAACGCATGCCCCCAGCCAGGTAATTCCGCAATCGAACGGTCCATAGCACCACCGTCCACAGCCTTCAACATCTTCGTGTTTGCGCTGCCCGTCCGACGGCGAGAACAAACTCCTATCGCGGGATACGCTCTTGGCTCGCGGAAGTGTCGGCAATGGTAGGTCCGCGAACACATGCCACCGCAACGTTGGCATCGTAACCGGCCAGACGGTGCAGCCGATCAGACCCGTGCATTAGCGCCTCCATGGGACTTAGATTGGGTCAAGCCGACCCTGGAATCAGGGACCCGTGGCATGTATGTGACGCGTCGGTGGTTGATAGGGCCCTCTTGGTCCGGGACGCTGGACACGTCGGGCTGGTTGTCAGCGGGTGCTCTGAACTCTGTTCCACAAAGCCGGCATACCTCGCGGCCAGGGGAGCGTGCACTCCAAGCTTGCACAAGACCCATAACCAAATCCCGTCTCGCCAATTCATGTTGCGATTGCGGTGCGAGAGTGGATGCAGCCAACAGTCCAGACTGTCGACTAGGGGTCATTTTATGTGGGACGATCAAGATCGTGGTTAACCATGTCTGAGTGCAAACGGTCATCCTCGTTCGGGCAAACGCATCGCGCGGACGACAGCCCGGTGTCACAGCCCGTCGTGCCGGCGTGTGGCACGCAGCACCCGAGTACCAGAGCTCAGGGCATTTCCAATGATCTCCAGCGGATGTCGAGATGGCTGCCACAAATTCTACAATCATGCGACCGGAAATCGTGTCAGATACTGATATTTCTCACAGCGCCTGCAAAACACGGGGTTACCAGAGGTGAACCCCGCCCCATCCGATCGCCAGCCTTACGCTTGGCCGTCTCTCGTGTAGCTGCGGTAGATTCAGAGCGTCAGTCACTGATCCAGGAAGCAATTACAGCCGGGGGTGGGTGGAAAACAGCTAACCAGGGCAATATTGAATGGTGTCTGAAGTTGAAGGAGCTCTGGTCAGACGCGGTCCACCGCCGTCAGGCGCCTTTCTGGCCGTCCGGCGCTCTGAGTCCCTGGGAACAGCATCCTTTGCTCCCCGGCTTTGCTCTGCTTCGTTTGAGGACATGCATCAGTTCAATCTGCGGACGAGGCGGGCGAAGGGAGACAGGGTTCGGGGGAAATTGAAGGGAATATTCACATGATAGACGACCTCATCTTGAGGGTTCCGAACGTTGAACGAAAATGTGCGATGACATGCCTGGTCAGTGACGCGAAGGATTGCCCGTTGGAACGCGTCGGGGCGAAGTGAATGTTTGTGGAGGACGCACGAGCCAGTCACAAGGAAGCCATGTTACATAATGATCATCTTCCTTGGCAGGGGCACGAACCAGATAACCGATCAGGTGAGACGACGGAAGGGACAGCAACAACCATCACAGAATGTATGCAACCGCCCGTCGGTTAGCTCCCTGGGCTGTTGTCCCGTGCATATGGGGACTCCCCGGATAAGCCGTGGCGTGCAGAATTGTGGAATCCAAGCTTCGGATAGCTTGGACGGATACGTCGCTGACGGGATATTGAGTCTGACCAGCCTTGTTCAGCCTATCGCACGCGAGTCTTTACATTCGGAGCACAGGATGCGCATTCAGATGACGATTATTTCCGTCCCTCATCTTCCCCTGCGAAGAACTACGAAATTCACCCACCTGCATTGCCCGGTTGGCCGGCCAAGCGAAGTCATCCGCGCATATGCCATATCAGGCGCTGAACACCGCGACGTTATAGAGTATTGTAAGATAACTCCAATATCATCAGTTAGCAAGATCCGTCCGACCTTACGGTAACATTCTCCGAGCATCAAAAATAACTAGATAGATTCCAAATGAACCAATCTGGATCTAGCGCACGCTCGGGTCCTAGGTAAGTCACCGTCTGCAGTAGTTCGCCTGGATTCCACCCAACTGGATTGTAGTCCTGCCGAGGCCAAATAAGGAGATGGAAATAGAAGTCAAGCGCACACTCGGAGCGAGTGAATCTGCGCATAGTATCAATGACCTGTGCGCGGCATCGTCTGAGGTCCCCGAGAGTGGACTCACGCCGAGGAAGAAAGAAGGGAAAGATCGTCACAGCTTCACCCGTGTACTTTTGCCTAACGGAGAATTGAATCTCTAGCCAATCGAATACTCTCTGTGGCAGGCTCGCAGATACGTAGCGAAAGACGTCACCCGTAGCGGTAAGCGGCGAAAGCAGACTAGGACCGTTCCAGTCGATGAAAGCTCCGTTGTCACCGTTGGTTGACAAAAGACAGATGAACTCCGGTTCGTGGACAGCAGATGTGAGGAAGCTAGCAGATCTTAATGGAACGGATTGGCTTCAGAATCTCCGCCCCAGTCGAGCTGTCCTGGGGCATCGAAGCTTTCTCTGTGATGAGACCGGGAATGGTTGGTGTCACTGGTGTCATACCACGCATCTCATGTGGCTTCGAGTCAATCATCCCGTATGTTCTCATAGGAGCTCATGACCTACCGGAAGACATCTTTTTGGAGCTTGCACGGTGACTCGTAGTGCTAGAGAGAATCAATAAATGGGGCGGTATTTAAAACGGGCCAGGCTGTCTGTTTGGATAATAGATGGCTATTTAATTATTATACCGTATGTTTTCAATATTGGCTGCCCTGCAATGCTGAGCGCCCCCCTTTGAGCCGCGGGTTTCCCACCAGGTGTCAATATGACAGATGCGTTAGATGCACCGGGTATCCTGGCAATTCCCATTTCCGGGATCTTTCCATTAGCAAATCGTCTGAACTTATGATGTTGCTTGACATTTGATACAAATTTGGATGATATTGAATTTACACAGACGGCTATCAGGGGTTCTTCTAGGATACCCGTCGCCACGCTCACTGAAGAGCCAGCTTTTTCATAACAACATGGATTCATTGACTGCAAAGTATCCTTCTTGTTCACCAGGGTGTGCTGTAGAAATTATCGGTGACTTGGCTGGGTGGTCAACACCTACGTTGAGATGGGCAATCTTTCCACAGGCAAGAAAATCAGGCGAATTATGTAACCGGGCAAAGAAGGGTCATGTCCAGCAAGTGGAGTTGATCTTTACAGAGATGGCCACAAGAAAATGGAAGAGGACCCAGTTATGTCTCAACATCCAGGCTGGCGATGCCTCGCTTGCTTGCAAATTGAGATATTTCCCCAATTTTCCTTGCATTCGGTCGATGGTTCTTGGATACCCTCTGAACAGGGATATCTGGTGATGGGGAGGGGGCAAGAACTAACCTGGTAGAGATGCCCGGGCATTTATGTTCGCTAAAGGCAGTGATGATCTCAACAAAGTTTGGCTCTTGGGATCTGCTCTCCAGTGGATTTGTTATCATTTAGAACATACCAATGAGCCACGACGAAGCCCGGGCAAGATAGTATGGTAGAAGATCTACCGAATCCTCTGTAACTATACTCTACAATATCTGAAGCTTGATCGCAAGCTCCTGTTTGTGGATCCCTCGTGAGGTAGTAGCTCCCGATCCGCGCCTTCCTATTCCACATGTCGGAATAAGCTGGCTACAGTATTTCAATCCCAGGATATCATATCAGCCGAACTAACGAGGTTATCGGCCATCTACCTAGTCGTCTCAATACCAGCTATGCCCGAACATAGATCTTGGAGAGCCGCATGAGAAAAGTATGCCTGAGGCATGGCGCGTCTCGGTCGGCGATTGGCAGATTGGCTATTACTATAACATCACCGATTGCCGTAACCTAGCCATAGCCTCGATGTGCTCAGGCCATGAACACCGTGCCATTTACAACGTATGCTGTAGCTAAAGCGTATTGATACACAATGATTTCGTCCGGTCCACCAGAAGTCACCGGTATCTGCACTTTACCTCAGAGAATGGAAGCAGGCAGTAGTTCCTTCCGTTTTCTAACGTTGACGATGTGGATGGCCCGAGGGCCGCGGCCTTGTACGGCCTGCAAACTGATAGACGAGTTGCCAGACCAGGTCCATGGCTTGGGATGGCCCGCGAACCGGTGGCTGCGACAGACTGGAAGATTTAGAGTCTAAAAGTCCCGTAAAGTCAGTGTACTGACTGTAGCTGCCTGGAGAGTATTCATCTTACCTTGGTCTGGGCGCGCAAGAGCCCTACCACGGATAGGACTCTTCATGCCCACCTGGGTTGTGGGCGGCGATCTTGGAAACTCAGTGGTTGGAACCGCCTTTCCTCCGCTTTTCACCTGCTCAGGTCCCGCCCTTATATCACGGAAATTTGTATGCTTCCGATGAGCCGGTGCCCTAGTGGTCACCAGAGGAGGCATCTCTCGTGCTCTTTGTTGCTCTTTGCGAGCCTGCTTCGCCGTCATACCTTGTGTTATCCTCGCCTTCTTCCTAGGTACGGGACGACGTCTTCTGATATTCTTTCTCAACTGACGAAGTTTAGACCGTAAGGATTCCGCGGTTCTTGGGCGGATGGTCTCTGAATACTCTTTGGCCCTCATGTCCCACGACCATTCGGAATCCGGATGGAGGACGATCCAGTTTGGGAGCCGAGCCTCCTCGGTGGGCGTCCACTCGCGATAGACTCTTTTGCCCATTGTGAGATACCAAAACGTGGAGTTGCGACAGCAGGACAGATGGGGAAGAGAGGACAGCCAAATAATGACGGAGGCATTGAATTGGTAGATGAGCGAGGTCCTATTGATTTACATATACACGCTTAGGCCTGTAAATGGACTTACCAGCTCTGATCAGATGCCAGGATGATTTCATCATGTCTGCTGGCAGAGGTTCGTGGCGGCGATGACCAGGCGCAGAACCCCGCCGAAGTTTATCAGATACTAAAACTCACGAGTCAATGACCAGTCTGCCCCACAAAAGGCTGCCTTGACCGGTCTCCATTACATTCTCAAAGGAAGTTTAGATCGTCGTCAACAGTGGGCTTCACCGTGTGGAGTTGCGTCAACCACCGAAGATCTGCTAGATCACTAATAAGTTCACCCGCTCAGCTAACCGGGGACTTGATGTCACCAGCGCAAGGAAGGGCAAGATTTTATCACAAGGAAAGGTGACTAGGGCAGTAGGGCATGTGCTGTAATGCCCATTGTTGTTTTAACTCTATGCTGAGTCCCTCTTCCTTGCCCGTGGAGTATCGCTATTCCCAAACAAATAATCTTGTCTCGAGACCGCTTCCTTGCCCGCCTTGGCTCCTTTCCGTGGCGGGCCGTCCAACATGGACGGTCTTAATTCTGAACAACTCCCAAAGTCGCGGAGCCGATTCCGTTCTCTCCCATACTGTACCTTCTCCCATGACGCCTACAACAGTCCGCCTTAAATACACCACTGCGAATCGGGAAATTATCAACTTTTGAACGCCGCGAAGTAAGACTATACATCTACAATGCCTCCTGCCCATAACATAGCTGCGCAGACATCACCCCCGTCCCGGTTGGATTTGCTCCGCGAGGCGCTGACGAGACCGAGCCAAGCCCAGAAACACCAGCAGCCCTCGCAGGTTGCTGAATTGCACTCCCCACCGAGCGAAGTCGCACCCCACCAAGAGGAATCGGAGAAAACATGTTCGGAAACGAGTGATGATCCAGCTGACGAAAACCAAGAAGGTGGAAACTGGGAGACCCATAGCTTTGGTGTCTACGAAGCATCGAGACCTTGGACAGACGCCCATAAGAAGTGGGATGACCTTAATCTTCCAGCGATGTGCGAGTAAGTCAGGTCGCCGTCCACCATATGTCGATATAGTCCATGGCCAAGTTGCGCTGACCGGCCTGCCTGATCCCAGCTTAGAGCGCAGACTTCGGTTAGTAGCCCCCAGCCGGTCTTCTTGTTGTCGTGTGTGCAAGATCCGTCTGTTCGCCTTCTTCTCATGCAACTTGTTGCTTGCTAGGCATGGCAAACGCTAATTTGCCACCCCAGAAGGCTAGAAAACCTCCTCGATAAGCAGATATCGTGGAATAACGAAATCCAAAAGAAGCTGGCCGAACTCCGTGAAGAGCCACCGACCGCTGAACCTGCATCCAGGAAGACCACACGTGCAAAGCGTCCCAGGACGAGCGGGACAGACTGATGTGTACCGAACGGTGGAAGGCGAATATGAGAATCCCATAGTCGAAGGAACGTTCCACGGTAGTTAAGACACGGCGGGCCGGACCGACAACGAATCATGAGCTGTCGACGTCCACCATCGTCTAATAGAAAATATTTTCAAAACAGCCCGAGCCCGAACAATGTACGGCTAGCAGTAGTCTGGTGTAAAAGCACTCAGTTGCAGAGCAGGACGAGGACGGCCAACCAAAAGCTCAGCCATGCTACAAAAACCATCTCTTATTGCGGAGCAGACGAGTGGACTATAGGGTATTCTCTCACTGGCAATGTCCCCCGCGGCATTATGGCCCACAGCTATTCTGCGCCTGTAGTCAAGACTGGTCGACGATCGATTCCCTGTCCGGCCGTTGCTGGAATGCGATCGGACAGCTGGTTAAAAAGGCAAGCAAACGCGTGCATGTCACTTGCGGTTGGAGCAATGCCGTTATGCGTGAGTGGTCCCAAGACCGGACAGGGTCTTGCCTATCTGTAAAACAAGACGCGTGTTCAATGAGAGTTTTACATGGCTCATCTTGATGCACCGTGGCTGCATATGCGCTTGCCAAACCCAACAAAGGTTAGCGTACATAGTATGACCAGACGGGCCTACGCCGGGGCGATTTTTTCACCGCGCAAAAACCCATTAGACATCTCTCGTGGCCGCCACCGTAGAGCGGATCATAGCGACTAGGATGTTATTGAGAGGAAGAGCCATGGAGGACTGCCGAGTCGTAGCCTCGGCCAGTCGAAACGCTCTGGTTAAGCCGTCTCCGTGAGCACGATGGACATTCCGAGACTCCTTTGGTCTGGTTAACACCGATCCTATTCGCGTGGCTTGAGGGCTCGCTGCCCTTTGTCGAAACAGAACGAGTCTACGGAAACTGACTCAATCTGACAGGGCGCGTCGGGACGGAAGCTATCGATCTCTCCATTGCTGGGCTCCGCGGCGCCGGGGGCTTTCCTTCCGTTAGCCCGCAGGCCAAAACAGGCACGCCCCCGACAACGGGAGGGCTTCACTCAAGCATATTATCATTGAAAATGACGTCCCTATTTATTGGCTATTTTCGATTCAAGCGACTTTATCGGGTCCAGCTGCCACGGGAATAGTCAAGAAGGGTCAGACAATACATGGAAGAAACGCCCTGCTTGGGGCCATTTAATGCGGCCACTAAACTACACCTCCTGCCCCATCAAAAAGGCAGAGCACAGCATTAACCACACTAGAGATCATACGGGGATTCCATCAATCCGGTACTGGGGCATGCAGACAGAAACCGGGGCCCATTCAACCCATCCAACGGAAGGTCATCCCAAAAAGAATCGTTATCAATGTCGGCCAGGCAAAATGCCCGATTAGCCGTGTAGCATTCCCTGTGGCTTGTCCCGTTTGACGATCTATCAGGCCTTTTCCTCTGAATCAGTACTTGTTGTTCTCGGTAGCGGTCGCCATGGGAGAAGTCGCCAAAGGCGAGTATTTGCAATGCCGGGAGGCCGGCGGGTCCGAAAGCCCACTGACCAGCCTGACGAACTCCTGAAGTTCCGACGCCTTTCGCGTTGGCCAGAAGTCGAGTCCGGCGGCCTTCGACTTCTTGAATTTTCAAGGAAGCGACCGGCGCCATCGGTCCATATCTTTCTGCAGCAGCGAAAGGATCTCCCGCCGGAGGCCGTAGTGGATTCTTTCCTCCCCACTGAATCGCAGGTGGAGGATCCGAATAGACGAACGTATTGGTAGGCTGACGAGAAGATTCCTCTACGCTGGTTAGCTCGTGTCCCCGCGAAAACCATGGCAACATACTGTGCTAGCTGGGCGAAGGCAGAGGCCCAGGGCGATCGGAGAACAGATCTTCCGTAGAATGCGCGGAATACTGGCCAACGTCACGGTCACATCGTCCCGAAGCTCTTCAAAAATCTGTTCCCTGTCGACCGCCATCAACCGACGTTCATGGAAGATCAGACCACGGAGTGCGGATTGGTGATGATGAATGGCATCATCAAGACCTGGAAGGAACTGGGGAAAGTTAGAGATCTTCAGGTACAGATATTGCAAGCCTCGGAAGGAAAGGAGAAACTCGACGATGGCGATGAACGCCAGCCGCTCCCCTGACTCGCGGAGACAATCGCTGCTAATCTCGAAGTACCGGAGGGAGACGGGCCTGCTGGATCGTGCCAAGAGCTGCAAAAAGTGCAGTTCGCTGGGGCAGTCCCGCAGGGTCAGTGCCTGCAGAGCGCGGAACGGCGATCGTTGGACGCCGGGAAGCAGCGCGCTGGGGAACGAAACGCGTGAAAGCGTCAACGAAGTGAGTAAGGAGTAGCCGTCCAGATCAGGTCGGGTATGGTCATCACGGAAGGATGACGGAAAGAGACCACGATATCCGCATAGCCACAACGGCTTGGTGGATTCTCCGCCGACAGGAATCAGATAGAGAGCGCCTTTAAGTGTCGAGAGTTCTGTCGGAGGCAACCTCGCAAGGCGCTAATCTCGGACGGATGATGGATACCTTCCCACTCCAACTCGCTGAGCGCCGTGAAACACGACAGGCCCTCTAGATGTTGGCCCGCGTGGGGACAGGTGCCGTTAGTGATCAAAGAGAGACGACGGATCTGTTTCTGGTGGTGCACCAAGTGTCCTTGAGCATCCAAGACGTTCGCGGGGATGCAGGTCCCGATATGCCATCTAGGCGGGTCAGTTGCGGTTAACTTCAGGCAATGTCCCAATACATACTGAAATGAATGGAGGATTCCAGGTTCTAATCGGGGAAAGACTTGGTGTATCTGAGACGACAGGCTCTCTAGAAACCCGCTGTGAGCGGTCGGTTCGTGCGGGCTGCCTAATGTGAGTCCTCTTGGCGACGTGGCCGGTGGAAAGAAGTTGCTATTGTACACACAGCGGTGGAACCGAGCGATGCGGATTGGAGCTTTCACCGTTAGCTGCCTGGTATAGTGCAGGATCTCCCCAGCGCGGTAGTCGGGACAGTCCCCCAAAAAGAGACCGACATCCAGGATGTTCAAGGCCCATTCATTGCTGGCACGGAAGGTTATCGCACGATGGAGCCGAGGGAACAGAGCGGCATATAATATGGTTGAAACAAGACTCAACGACCAAACGCTGCGTTGTGGCAGCTGGCGCATCGTTAGCAGCATTTCGGAGCTCAACAGCGTTCCTACAATACATACCAAGTCGGCGATGGCATCAACCAGCTCAAGCGGCAACTGGCTTAGCATGTTTCATTATGTGGTGGCGCGAGGCTGTCTCCGTCACGAATCAATTACGCTGGAGGTCCTTCTTATAGACCAGAATAGAATATGCCCTGCTACCATTTTTGTCACATTGTGGGACTCCCACCCTTAGCGCATATCCCAGAAGCTCCCCTTTTGGAATTGGCTACACCAAGCCTTTGATGACGGATAATCAGCTGTAGTCAAAAGTGGGAACGAACGCCACTTCCCCGGGGTTCTGTTGTGGGTCTTTCCCGTCCGACATGCGGGGGTTCCCATAATGCAGCAGCATATGACCAGCCCGGTGGTGGTGGTGAAGACTGTCATCTCCCGAATCTGAGGGCATTGCCCCTGACGATCTGGATGTTCAGGCAGCATGAATGGCGACGGACAGCAGCTTGGCTATCGATCCCGGAGGCAAAAGCTGGGTAAGCGCAAGTTTCGTGGGCCATCGATACTCATCAGCCTTAAATGCTTGAGCAGTTTCGGCCCTACATAAACTCAACATATGTCATCAGTCCCAACATCAGAGACCTTGTCCAACAGAAACAGCTACCGTAATAGGAAACTTGAAGAACGACGGCTGGTTCGATTGCGAATTGCCTGCTTGAGTGGACACCATGTCCTATCCTGTTGAACGTCCAGCAACCCCAGCCGTGCCGTCGACTCCGCTCCAAAATCCCACCCAAGCATCCTCTCTGAGCGCTCAGGTTCAGAGTCCGACCCAGTCTCATCTACGTCGGACTGCCCCTCTGCCGACTGCCACCCGTTCCCGAGCTCTCTACGCTCGCCGAGGCGGTCCCGCAACAGGACCTGAATAAATCCGCCACGCTAGAGGAACAATTTTTGAAATCATTGGCGACTTTCAGCCCGCGGTGGGATTCACGGTCCGAGCCACAGCTGTGGTTCCTCAAGACCGGCGAGGCGCGGGAAATTACTTGCTGATCGACTTGCTTTGCATCCGTTGTTCTCCACATTCAGGCATCAGGAAGGCATTCGAAATTTTAGTGTATACTATTATGAACGTTTTATCCCAGGCGACACTTTAAATGCGATGGCCCGAAGGGTGTTCCGAAGACAGTTGAGCTGGCTAGAAGCAACAGTGACCAGAGACAGCGTTTTAGTGGCCACTGCAACGGCGCAATACGTGGCTGCTGGTCTAGAACCAGATGAAGGCATACAGATTTCCGCTGAGAAGCTTTTTACTGATTTTAGCGGTGTACATCCTTGCGTTGTTTCTGACGATCGTGATCTGTGGTAGACATCTGTCTTGTGACTTGGCTGCTCAGATCGAAGGTTCATTCACATATCACAACATGATGAATGTTCTTAACGGGATGCGACGAATAAATTTGCCGTCCTCGCTAATCCAGCGGCTCTATTTCCAAATAGTTGAGATAATAAAGCGACCTTTGAAACCGAAAGGAGCTTAGTTATGGTCCGATGTTGTGAATCAAGGCTGATCAAGTACAGAATAAAGCTTCGTATGCGGAATTTATTCCCTATTGAATCAAATTGATCTACGTTCATGTTGTATATCAACCCTTGTGTCTTCAGATCCCTCCCTATCACCTTTATCCAGAAGATTCGGCAATGGCCCAGGTGGTGACTGCCGTTTCGCCGGCGAGTCGCGTCCCTAACGAAAGTCTAGAGGTACATACCAGTGGGGTATTCTATCACGCACAAACAACCGTGTGTGTTGATTGGACGACGGCTGCGGTTCATAAGAAGTCCAGGATAACGTTCAGAATAACTGGGCGGGCGACGGGGATGTCTGACGGTTACATCTTGCCCGGGCAATGGCCAAGGCCATTGGTGATCGAGCATGTTCACCCGGGCATCTATACGATATTATCACTTCCTTCCATTAACCTACTGCATATTGTGCTTGGTTGCTAGCGGCGAATGATCCTGGTAGAATAAAAAAAATAGAGGCCGCTCTGAATTTGAAACAGTCTTGATAGTCCGAAGCAGAGAATGGCCTGACCAACCTGGAATCATAAAGATGTCCGGGTATTTCCCTCCGGCCTCGACATCCAACAAGAAGGGGTCGGTATGGTGTTGTAAACTACGTGATGAGAAGCACATTAGCCACGGTAGGGGGATGTTGAAATTAACATCAGAACTGGATGTTGACTTGCACCTCCTTTGGAGTTGCGATGGTGTTTCTGAATGACTCAGAATTCAGCAAGTTTGATCGACGTGAAACGCGCAGGACGACCGATGTATGAAGAGGAAACGTTGGCTTCGTTGGAGACGGAGAGGGTGGACTTGGGAAGGGGGCCAATCTTCGGGAAAATGGAAGATCCCGCTCCCAAATCTCTTGGCCCTCGGAGCAAAAGTACGAGTATCGCCAATTGGCTAGATTAGAGTAACGATAGCGGGCAACGTCCATTAACAATTGTGGTGTCGGGTGTCCAAGGTATTTCAGGAGGTTACCGAGAATTTGATGCTAATATGAGGGAGCAGCATCAGTGACTTTCGCAAGTACGGTCTCTGTGTAGCAAGCGATGGATGAGGCAGTTGAAACCTTCGAATATAGAGACAAGAGGAACTACGAGGACGGTTGAAGGATTAAAGCAGCGTGCCGGTTCGGGGGGCTTCGATATTGGCGACGATTCCCGCTGCAAGCAGAGGTTGCTTCAAGTTAGCTTACCAAATGCAACCTTGAGCTCACTCTAGAACGACGGTACGTGATGAAGTCATGTAGATGTCAGAATGACGTATTAAGTGCTTGGCCCGCAGATGGTGGCTCTGGCTTGGCGGGCTGAAGCGGGATAAAGTTGATGGAAACCGTCGCCTCTCCAAAGGCCAGACCGGTACATGGTCGCTTGCATATGAGGTGTGAGTCAAGTGATGAGCGTGGAACTGTTGTCTCAATGTCTATCAACAAGAGAAGTTCCGGAGCCATATGCCGTAGAACCTGCAGGCTTACTATTTCTTTCTTTGCCCCAGTTAGAAATCAGTTTGACCAGCACTACCTGACGTTACAATCAGTACAGAAACAGAGGCGAAATGGAGTTTACTCTCGTGTTTAGAGAAGGAAGGTGGGCCTTTGAGTAATGGGTTCGGAGTTCGCGGCTGCCGAAGAACTCTTTGCGACAACGTCGCAAGGGGCGATAGGACAGGTAACGCCTATATTAGTGACTGATCTTCCCCACCCCCGCCTTTGCCTGTTCCCCTTCTTCTCCTCCAACTCTACCTAGCTTCACCCTATGGTATGTACAAGAGCCCTTTTCGGCCCAAGCATTTCTATTAGTACTAAGTTCTATTCACAGGTTAGGTTACTGAGAAAATGTACGAAGATGACGGTCATTGAATTTGTGATACTGCGCCACAACCCAGACAACAAATGCTCTGAGATCCTTCTTGAACGCAACAACCCAGACAACAAGAATCCCGCGATGTCTCCCCGGAAGCCGTTAGATTTACCCAAATACACCCCGACAGACAGTTGGGAGGTCGACGTTCCAAGGACGCTGGATAGAATCGCAGGAGGGTACAAATACTACGAGTCGAAAAAATGTGAACATAGAGAGAGATTGGGAATAGTGCTCTTGTTTATTGATGGCTCTGATGCTCAAGCAAGCGAGGGTTATGAGTGGTTTAAACTTATCAATCTTGGATCTATCCGTGACGACATTCAGCTGTTCACATCAATATGGGAGACTGTGACAGGATCCTATCCATCATTAAGGTCTCCAGAATTTCCTCAAGCTCTCTCTAAGAACCTCTTAGTCCTTCTCGGGGATACCAGCTGCTAGTGATGGGGCAATGGCGCGTTATCGTCAGGCTGATGGAGATCACATGACCCGGTTGAGTCCTTGCTTTCGTGCCCGCGTTCCAGGATTTTGAATGTCCAATGATCAACAAGACCCCCGCAATGCTTTTACGGGCGGGGTCGAGTTCAACAGTCCAAAAAGTGTTCAACAGCCATCTAGCATTGGGTGGAGACTAGTTTCCGCGCGAAGAGCGAACGGCTTGGCTCTGCCCCACGAGGACATAGCTCGCGCCAGAGGCTTCCCAGACCAAGTATCCTCCTCCCCAGAATTATGCACATGACGCGTCTCGTATGCATATCGTGGAAACATTCCCTGAAGACGTATTGGGGTCTCAAAAAGTTCTCTATTGGTTTCAGTGGCGCGAGTAGGCGATTGGGTTTATTCGAGGCAGGAGGTAGAGGCAAGCTGAGCTACTTGATGACGCAGATCGATAACTGGGGTTGAGTAACAAACCGATCTTCATCTGGCCTTTGGTGGCTGAACACTAGAAAGCTCAGACAACAACTGAGATTAGAAGCAGGTTCAACACATACATAGTTTATGCGTATTACGTACGATCATCAGGGACGCACATCCAGGAGCCGAGGGCCTTCTCAAAGATAAGGGTCTAAGGTAGCTTGCCAAGGCTGACAAGCAAAGTAAAGAGTTGAACACACCTAGATTAGCGTAGCAGTCAGCAGGAAAAAGTCCACTAATGGCCGACCTTGAGTGCTGAGCACTTGTCTCCAGTACCCACTCCATCCACTGGCCGAAGCTACCTGCCCCACCTCAGCCCCGTCGCAGTCCGCTCAACACAGTCAGTGTTCAACTGTCATAAGCGGACAAAGGCTGCGCAATTTATTCCAACTTGCAACCGAGAACACGACTATACAAAAGTCTACCTTAACTTGGTACCCACAATATCAGCCAGATCCCCGCAAAGTCTGGCTAGATGTAGCGGAAACCGAGGTTTGTCTCGATGTTCAATGAATAAAACTGTCGGTCTACCTTGATATGTTAAAGAGAACGGTTTGCGGGCATCCCTTTCATCTGTTGAACAGAAGTCAACCAAGTCTTTGAACACAGCTGAACGGCGTTGGATCGAGTATTTAGTTTTGGTGGCTCCTATCCATTCGACCTGGACGTACTCAAGTCGCGTCTGAGTTTAGCAGGGCCGACCTGATCTTCATTCGCATTTGCCATGCCGATCGGTGGGTATCTCCCAGAGGCTCTACCCTCAATTTCATTATCCTCGGATATCTCTCGGGTGCTAATTCTAACGCAGTTGGGTTCTCTGTGGTTTCGTTTGGAAGAAGTTGGGGGTTGCTGGCTGGCAAAGGACGAACTCCGCGTTGGTCCCAGATCGAGACCATCAACAGGCGGTCAAGCAGGGATTACACAGGCGGTCAGGGTGATCCTGCTTGACCGCCTTATGACGCGGCAATTTCCTAGGAAATCGAGGTGACCGGAATGGAGTATCCTAATGCTGGCTGTTGCTTGCTCTGCCAGGTGAGCGTATCTCATGGGCGAGACACAGTCGGGTAGAAACAGACACCAATCGTCTTCCTCAAACGATGATAGGCAACTGGAACAGCCATGTGTGGCTTACCTTCAGATTTATCAATGCGTAAGGGTCCCTGACCAAGCTCACCACGTCGTTGATGTTTTGACTCCAATGGAGGGATCCGAGACTTCGTTGCTCGGGTTATTATGGGATGAATGAAGATCCACAAGTCCTCGATCTCAGGCTCATCTGCAGTTTGTAGCAGACTTGGTAGACCAGGCACGACGCCGACTCTTTATGCTCCCGCCATTTAAACCAATAAGAGCTTACGCAGGGGCCGGATCTCGTGTTGAGAATCGAGCCAAGCATGCCATGCCTGGGCATGGTTCCTTGACGGCACTTCTGGGCTAGCTCTAACTTGGCGTTCATGATAATGATGCCAAGCAGGGCTTCATGCTCTAGGAAAATCTGCGAAGAGGTTTAGAAGCACTGCTGGGGGTATACGCAAGGCATAGTGGGATAGAAGTACATGGGTATTTGACAGAGTGCGGATGTTGTATTATATATTATAACGCCATAACCCCTAATGATAAGAACAGAAAGTCCAGGGTACTGCTATCACTCGATGCCAGCGATGGCGACCTGATATCGGAGCCTTTAATCTGAGGTGTCGCGCATATCTCAACCAATTTCGTCTTCGTGCAGCTGGGATCCGACTCCTATGTATCAGCCAGCATGGCAGATAATGGACCCAGCAGCTTCTCAACTGCAGACGCGGCGTAGAGATTATGTTGAACGATCGGAGAGACAAACCTCGGATCGATGATATGCTCCCCGTCCGCATCCTGCGGCTCCATATCCTCAGGCGAGAGATTCGATAGACCCCTCCTGAGCCTTCGTATTGTCGCCCGGCCCCGCTGGATCTCGGCCTTCAATTCCTCTCTTAACACCACCCCGCTGCCATCCATTAGAATCTCGCCATTTGCCACCTCCCCAAGAACCCTCTTCACCCTCGCGACCATCCCCGGCACCCGGACAACCTCCCGATACGTCCGATCAATCAAACTAACAAGTCTACACCCCTTACCCCGCCTATCCTCCCTTTCAAACGCCCTCGCATTAACACTCGCCCACTCCCTCTCGGCAAGAAAGCACTCCTCACAACTAATCAACGCCTCGGCGATAAAAAAACGCCCTACACGAAAACACAATCGTCCTTGCAAACCCACTGAAATGCGCCGTGGCACCCCTCTTCTTGAGTATCTGCTTCGCACCACGAACATGCACCAGCCACGCATCGGGACTCCCCCCCTCAAAAACTTCATAAAACCCCAACAGAATCGTCAAAAGAAGCGTAGTCTGGCATGTCGCCTTGCGCGCGTCCTCCAGCGCAACCCGCATATACCGGAGCAGAACCCCATAGATATACCGGCTCTGCGCGCGGAGGTCGGCGTCCGAGTGGAGCGTCGCCAGGTGCCAGGTTGCGTAGCAGCGGACGACCCACTGGATCGGCGGGCACTGGGTGGCCTGGTCGTCGCGGCTGAAGGCGACGATGTCCTGGTCGAGGCGCTTGGAGAATGCGGCGTAGGTTTCGGGGATCAGGACGCTGCAGAGGCTTGTGTTGAACATTTCGCGGGTTTGCAGGTCTAGCGATTTGGCGGCTAGCGTGGGGAAGTGCAGGGTGTCGTTGGGGAGGGGCCAGATTGATCTACTGGTAAAACGGTGGGGGTATGAGGTTGGATGTTGGAGAGAGTGCCGGCGTGACTGGAGAGAAAGCCGTTTGGCTGCGTCTGTGTCTGGGGACGCGTCGTTGGCTGTTGGCGGTTGGTCGTCAGGCTTGTGGCGCCCACGCGGACAGATGGAGGTTTCTTCGGAAGTCTCGGAACAGCGCTTAGCTGGAAGGAGAAGGGGCGTATTCGACGCCAGCTCACGCGCAGAGCTCCCACGCGCCAGCCGCCGCATAAAGGCATTACAGCCAAGCTCGCGCTTGGAACACGAGGGGCTTCCGCTTCCTGCTTTAATCGACACAGGGAGACTCTGATCCATGCTGATATAAGTGTCTTCTCGAGTTGAGCAAGGTAATGTATGAAGATGTTCTCTGAGGGCAAACCTGAGGCTCAAAGTGGGATTCCCTAGCGGAAGACCGAACGCCTGATGTGTCTCAATCTCGCTTCGCGAGCCAAGAACCCCGCGCCGCGCGCCCAGCGCCCGCCAAGTCCGCCCCATGGGCTGAGTGTGATGGACCATCGAGCCGAGGGACAGTCGGCTCTTCTTCAGCTATGCCTACAGGGTACTACGATGCACGACTCCGCCGACGATCCGGAACGAAGACCAGCTCTCCAGAGCCGCAAGCTGTGCAACGCGCACCGATAAGTCTCCCAAACGCCTGTGAGGAGAAGCGATTTGGCGACACCTCAGCAGACGAAGCCGATGACGATATCTCATCCCTCGGCTCTCCACGCGGAAAACTGGGGACAGCAGACGACGCAAAATCCGGAGGCTCGCGATGGCCTCCATTATCCGTGACGTCGCGCATGAGACGTCTCAGCGGCCAGAGCACATTCACCGATGCAATATTCTCTGCGCCGGCCACGGCCAGTTCGCAAGGGACCAGTTTCAGCCTCGAGGATTCTCTCGCACGACATCCATCGACACCGCCTTCCCTGTCGCAGCACGAAAAGAAGCCTTCCCAACGAGTAAAGGCTCGGGACACGGGGCCGACCCCTGTACCAAAACAACAGCAGCCTCAGCAGCTGGTCCCTTCGTACGACGAACTTTACGGCTGATTGATTATGACTGGTAACGAGAAGCAGGATTGAGACAGTATTTCTTTTCTTTGTTTGCTGGGTTTTGCCTTTCAGACCGACCCAGACCTATATCTGTATCACGGATGATGTGAGATATGACTGAACAACCTTGCCCTGGGAAATGGGCACCTTAGACAAAGCCAAGCCAGATTCATCACACAAGATCGGTCCCTGTCCGATGAACCCGCTTGATTAATACTTCGCCAAGTAAACTAGACCCCTCCATAGAAAACGAAGAGGCGAGAGCGTTCCGTGACGAGGATTTTCTTCACTGCTTCAACAAAGTGACATCTCAGCCATGGAACGTCCTCTTCCAATGAATCCCATCGCCTAAGCGGCAGCTCCCCGTTCTCCCCATCTAGTCCGAAAGCATTTACAGATCCCGTGTTGCTGCCCCCATCACAAACTACTGCGAGTGTCTTAGCCAACAAGATCGAGCGACCGTGCAGAGCATCAACGCTTTCGAAAAGAGGGATCAATTTGGGCGAAGCCTTCGGCGAATAACATGCGGCAGACATGTTGCAGTCAAGCTGCAGGCTTGGCCACATCACAATCCCCGCCAACGCCCCAATCCCCCGTCACGCTCGTCACACTTGAGTTCTCGCTTCGATTTTCTAGATTTTGTCTCCCATCCCGTCGTTGGCGCTCCCTTGCCCATGTTCTTGATTAGCTGGAAGCAGCGAGCTCGATGACTGGATGTCCGGCCCGGTGAGGAGGGGCCCCTTTTCAGGCTGCAGTAGCGCCCCCGAAGCAACTCCAGCACGTCTTGTTTAGGACGCTTGAATCTTGAGGCTCTGAGTATGAACCATAACCGGTTGTCTGGAACGGATTGTCGAGGACATGATCCGCATATCGATGGGTGGTAGCGCCTCCTCCAATGTCTAATAGCCTCCCATACGACCCACCACCAGGCCCTGAAGCAAAACTATTTCTAGTACACTGCCGTTCGTGCATCGGGGCCGCAGAGCGGGGCGAAACGTCAGGATCTTCCCGTCGTGCACTATCCAAAGGCAACCAGGGTGGCCCTAATTATGATTTCATTAAGTCATAAGTCATATGGCGAAGGAAACCCCGGTGCTACGTACTTGGTTTGGACGAGGTCGCGTGGCTCCTGGAAAGCATAGAATTGCGATACATGAAAGCAAAAAAAAAAAAAAAAAAAAAAAAAAATGGGGAGCTCGTTCAAATGGAAATCTAGAAAACTTTCCGCAGCAGTATGTGCTTCGAGTATTGCTGCATAACCAGTAATTTGCCTCGCTTCCAAGGATGCGGTCATGGCGATGCGACTTGGAGAAGTAGTTCTTGGCAAGAGTTTCAGCCATCTATATTTATAAGTACTTGCAGAGCAGTATACCGAAAAGAGCCCACTTACACTGTTTCTCCAATATCCTTGGGAAGAAGGAAAAGAGTCCCGGGACCCCCTAAATCCTGCGAGAGCAACTCGTACCTTTACCCCCCCCATCAATCCACCTTCGTAGATAACGAACAACATCTAACTTCTGAAGTTCTTTACATCTCCCTTCCTCCTGAATGGCTACGGGGCCTGTCAATAAGACCAAATCTGCAAGGGCAAGGGCGCCGTCAGTTGACAGTCCAGCGTTCACGCAAGCGACGGACAATTGGAACAGCAAAAGATAATAAAAGTGTCGAGATATCCTGTCAACTGTCCTGAGAAGAAGTAAGGCAAAATAATCAGATATCTGAGCGTGGGTATGGGAAGCGGTCTCGCGAAAGCTCTTCCATATCCTTATGCACATCTTGATGTCGGCTGAAATCTCAATGGGCGTCATTTGATCGGCCGCACGAGTCTCCGTCTTTGCGTTGTTCTCTGAGACACCAACGGAGAGGTGCGAAGTCAGTGTTAAAGGCACCAGGCGTTGTCCTGGGTCAGGCCAAAGATCTCCCGTGTGGGAGCAAAGGCTGGCAAATGGCACTACCACCAGCTTGTTGATGTCCGGCGATGTAGCGGCCATACCCGGTCAGTGGCCTGGGTGGTTGGTCTGTTACTTTTTGATGGCATGGAGTATTCACACTACCAGATGGTGATCGAGGGGTGCCCATGGCACCTCAGAGAGGCCATGTCGTATAGCCAGAAAAGGTTGATTTGCCATCTTTGTTCTCCGTGCGACCGTCTGTGCCCTTCCTGCCGCAGGGGTGGCCTGTTTACATCAACTCACTCGACAGGGTGATGCTACAAGACGCCATCAATTGCCTGCGGTAGCACTTTAACCCTGTCCATAAGTATGCGGTGCGCGCTGCCCACCGCTTTACAAGGGCACTAACCCAGTGCTTATGCATTTAATTGTTTCTCCTCTTGGGGTACAGTATCTCTGAATTGCCCCGGATTTAAACAGTCCTGCGGCAGATTCACATGCTTGCGCTCGTCCCGTATCAGTTCAAAGCTCTACGATAGTTGTGAAGGCAAGTCGCAAGCACCTCGCTCACAGCCCGCGAAATCCGTCCAGACGACATTCATTTCCTGCACGGTGCATGCCCAGGTCTAGTTGGTCGGTCCCAGCAGGACGGTAACCAATCTGCTTGGCCACCTATTCTGGTCTCGTGTTGCCCCAAGTGGGGTTAGTTCGTGGTTGCGCGGGTGGCAAATATAGGACGCGGAAAGGGGTTTTGTTTCCCTCCCTCCAGCAGCTCAGGCATAAGTGACGGCAGGATCTGATCCTTCACCCGAATAGAGAGGATGGAGCATCGTGCCGTAAAACTAACCCCAAGGCAAACAAATATTTCTAGTCTGACACTCGCCATTCAACTGACCAAATCGGGTCGATTGATGGGCAGGTGAATTCACATCCATTCTCGATATTCCCAACAGAACCAACGCGGTTGGTTCGGTTGATTGGCCTCTATCACCAACAGTGCCATCAGACGACCGTCAGGCCAACCACTCCGCCCAGAGATTAGTAGACGCTGGGTTCAGTCCCTACGTTATGCCC